AGCCAGCCGGAAGGCTGGCGCTCCCCACCCACAGCTCTAACATGTCTTATACTTGAGGAAAGAAGAATTTTTGCCTGTTAAAGCAGAAGGAACCAGGTTTCTGAATGTCTCGATTGTCCTGGTCAGGACCCCTGCTGGTGAATTTCTCAGTGTGACCCTGTGTGATGATCTCAGCCACCGTTGCCAAGGCAGTGGCAGCTGCCAAATGACACATGGTCCTGGAGTGAGGGCTTCTCTTACTTAGGTCCTGTGTGATGAACCATGTGAGTGTATACATTTGTGTGGCACTGATGTTCCTGGTGAGGGTGGAGGCTCAGTGATGCTCATGAGATGTGCTGAATCGTAGCATGCAACAGACATAGGGTGAGCATCTTGCGTAGAGGCGTTCATTGTTATTAATATACTTCGGTGCAGGATGCGGTTGAAAGTGAACAGCAAGCTGCTGTGCGCGAAGCAGAGGTGCGGAGCCTGGAGCTTGAGCCGGCCCAGCGTCTCTCCCAAGAGCAGAGCCCATCGCAGCTGCAGGAGGACAGCCAGGTCCAGCAGGTGTGTAGATGCGCCTTCCATCACAGGCATGGTTTTTGGGGGGAGTGGTGGAGTATGTATAAAAACTTAACCATCTTAAGTGTACATTTGGTGATATTAACTGTATTCACAGAGTTTTGTGTCCTTCACTACCATCCATCTGCATAGCTCTTTGTCTTGTTTTTTGTTGTTGTTGTTTTGGGTTTTTTTTTGTCTTTTTGAGACAGGATCTTGCTATGCAGTTTAGGCTGACCTTGAGCTCACTTTGTAGCCCAGGCTGGTCTCGAACTCGCAATGATCCTCCTGCCTCAGCCGCCTGAGTGCTGGGATTACAGGCATGCGCCACTACGCCCGGCTCCGCTCTTTGTCTTGTTAAGAGCAAACTCTTTACCCAGTAGTGAAGAACTCCCTGCCCACTTCCCCCAGCCCTGGCACCTAACATTCTATTTTCACCTGTAATAATTAGACTAGGAGCCTCAGATAAGTAGAAGCATGCATTATTTATCCCTTAGTGACTCCTTTAACTCACTTAACATGATGTCCTCCAGGTCCATCCATGTTGTGGCATAATTCAAAATTCAGTTCCTTTTTATGGTTGAATAATATGCCATGTGCACACACACCACATTTGTTCATCTGTTCATAGACACTTGGTTCCTACCTTTTGTCAGTTGTGCCTAATGCTACAGTGAACACTGGTGTACAGTTTGAGCGCTGCTTTCAGATGTGCTCTGTATATGCCAGGGAATACAATTTTGTGTTCCATGTTTAACTCTCTGAGGAGCTTCAAGCTGCTTTCTGTATCAGCGGCACCCTTTCCTGTTCTGCCAGCAGCGTACAGGGGTTCCAGTGTCTCCATATCCTGTCGACTCTTACTATACCCTTTTTTTGGAGAGAGCCATCCTAATGAGTGTAAGGTGCTCTCAGTCTCACTGTGATTTGTATTTCTCTAATGATTAGTGATCTTGAGCATCTCCTCATGTGCTTATTGGCTCTCTGCACATCTTTAGAGAAACATTTGTTGAAGTCCTTTGCCCACTGAGCCATTTATAAATTTTTATTAAATGTTGGTTTTACAAAGCAAATATTAATAATGAGAGTTGGGTGGCTTTTGTTGTGAGTTTTCTTCATTTTGCATCTAAAGGTGTAGGGTATTTTCACACGGTTTTTACAGACCGCCCCACTGCTCATCCTTGAGTGGGGCAGCACCACGCCTCTTTGACTTCGCTGTGGTGCAGGCTCACTGCCCCGACCTCACTGGCGAGGCATTGGAGGTAAGTTTGTGCCTGTGTGTGTGCCAGGCACTGTCGGCATGCCACGGTGTCCTCATTTCTGCATAGCTCTTGCCCACTGCTGTATGGGTGCCTGGTACACTAGGGCCTAGCCCAGATTCTCATGGCTGCCTGACTTGAAACACTGGAAGAGTCCTAGTGGGATTGGAGCAGCAGTCAGTCAGCAGCAGATCAAGAGGCATGACTCCCACCCCCACTGCATTGGCTTCTCCTCCATGGTGCTGGCGGTCTTGCTCAGGACCCTTCATGAAGGCAGGGGGGCAGCTGAGAAGAGGCTGTGAAGATCAGCCTCATCCAAACCCTAGAAATGCTCTGTGAGGAGCATTTCTTAGATTTTTTCTTCAACGTAACAGGTATTCCTGCTATGACATAATATATAAATCTCAAAAGAGCGTCTCATTCTGTAAAAGTACTAGAAAATAACATAACTAATGGATAATTAGTTTTAAAAAGGGCTAGTGGTATACCACTGAAGATCTGTGCAATATTATAACTTAAGTACCAATAAAAACAGTAATACACCTGTAATCCTGATACTTTGGGAGGCTGAGGCAGGAGAATTACAAGTTTGAACCCAGTTTCAGGAATTTAGTGACTTAACAAGACTTTTTCTCAAAAAGTGTTTGGGATGAAGCTCAGTGTGTACCACAAAACAAAACAAAACAAAAACCTTGTGCATGATTTTCACATATTGCTGGACATTATTTTCTAATACTCTTTTGATTTTTCCTTGCTGGGCATTGAAGTCAGGCCTGAACTTAGCTGCATCCACAGCCCTTTCTATGTTGAGGTATGATTTCATTAAGTTGCCCTGGTGGCACGTTGAACGTTCCATCTTCCTGCCTCAGCCTTCCTCAGTGCTGGGAATACAGACATGCGCCACCACACCCAGCTTAGTATTCTTTTTAAAACCTTTGCTCTGTGTTTTTCATTATGATTGACTTATAATTTCCCTTTCTTTTATGGTACAGACTCATAAAATAAGTGAGCCAAATCCTACTCCTTTAGTCTTTGAAATAATTTGAGTAAATTTGGAGTGACCTAGACTTAGCAGTTTTTTAAAAGCTGTCTTCTGGCCATAATGGTGCATGCCCATAGCCCAGTTGTTTGGGAAGTTGAGGAATTTAAGGCCAGGCTGGTTGACTTAGTGAGATCCTTTCCCAAAGTAAAAAACTAAAAAGGCATGGGGATGTAGCTCAGTGACAGAGCGGAAGACCCTGGCTTCCATCCTACACTCGTGCAGGAGTCTTATCTGTATACTTCCTTTGTGGAAAGATTTTCAGTTAGCAGTTTAATTTTAACCCTGTGTCAGGGAGCAGGCCTGGCAGGTGGATTTGGACTCTGTGAGTAGCTGTCAGTCAGATATGGCCACCTGTTGGCCCAACGCTCCTGCCAGGCCAGCATGCGGGGCCACAGCCCTGCCCCAGGCCATCAGGGGTATAGTTCCAGGTACTGGTAGCATTTGGTATACACGGCTCATTTTTTGATTGTTGTTTGCCATCTTGAAAGTTGGAATCCCCTGCTTATTTATTCTGCTTAATTTTCCCAGTCACCTGTCTTGGTCTGACTCAGTAGTTTTATAGAATCTGTATTTTTTTTGTTTCCCATCCATGGACGCTGTGTATATGGTTAGTTTCTGTTCCTGGCAGTGAGTTGGTTGCAGAATTACATTCTCTTCTTCCTCTGGCCCACATTTTCTTTCTGTACTAACATTCCTCAGTGAGTTCTCTGCCTGTCCCCCATGTACTGCATATCTCCTGTGGCTGCTTTCCCTTTCTTCGGCAGGGATGCAGTGCCTGCTCGGTGCTATTCCAGCATGGGCTTCTCTACCTGGAGGCCACTTGCTTTTGGCTCCTCCTGCCCTGTTCCTGAGCTGGAGCTGCTAGCCCTGCAGAGCAGGGGTGAGGCACTGTCCAAGTCATCCCTGTATGAGGTGCTTGCCTGTGCTGTCTGCCTGGCTTCCCTGTGAACACATGTGGCACATTTTTTGCTCTGTGTGGCCTCCTCCCCATGTGGGGGACACCCACATTCATTCTGGTGAACCTGCTAGGTCCTGGGCCATCCCTGCACTTGACAGCTGGCCCTGGGCAGAGATGCCTGGGTTAAGGGCTCCATCCAGCTGGGTGTTTCCCTTGTTGCTTTTCTTAAGCTACTCCAGAACATTGTTGAGGTCTGTGGCCACTGGCTTTGGGCAGCTGTAGGGAGCCCATGGTAGCCAGTATCACCGAAGAAAGCTGGTACCACCCATCACCTGCTTGTGCCACCAGGACACCGAAGTTTTGTTTTTTTTTTTTTAGTACCAGGAATTGAACTCAGGACCTTGCACTTGCCAGGCAGGTGAGCTATATCCCTGGCCCCGAAGTTTTATTTTTAGAGAGAAATGTATAAGAAGGATCTCTTCCTGACTAGCAACTAATTTTTATTATGAATGACCAGGTAGAGGAATTGTACTCTGAATTATTAGTTGTGAGATAAATCTGGTGAGTATGCCCTTTTATTCCCTCATGGCAGGGGCAGCCAAGGTTATTTGTGTCTTTTTTTAAAATTTATTTACATATAAGTGACTAATAATGAGAGGAAAACCGTGTTCATAATTTTTCTCTTGGATCACCCCCTTGTTTATTTACCTTTTGTCATATTTTTATTAAATGTGATCTTGAAAGTTATACTGGAATTTCTCGGCAGCCACTTATTTTGAAGTAAATTGCTGTAACTGAGGTTTAACGTTTTCTCAACAGCTGAAAGACCAAGTCTTATCCTTAAGTCAGGAGGTAGAAGAGTGCCGCGCTGAGCTTGAGAGGCTGCAGCAGAGGCGTGAGAGGGAAAACCAGGAGGGTGCCACCCTCATCTCCATGCTCAGGGCTGACATGGACCTGTCTCAGGGCGAAAGGTCAGTGTGTCCTTGTCATTGTGCTGTCTGACTCACCACCCAGTGGTGGTTCTGTGGCCACCGCCTTCCAGCCCATTGCACTCACTGCGGGGTCATCTATAGGTTCCTAGCTGGTAGACAAGACCTGAGCAGGCTATTCTTTTCACTTAAACAGCAAGATTTAAACAGCAAGGAAAGTAACTCAGGAATGTAAAAAACATCTGCCTTTGGCTTTGCCAAATCTTCATGTTTTCCTAAATTATAAAAAAACACCGTTATCTTCCCTTGAACCCCCACTAGCTCATCTCCCTTCCAGAAGCTGTTCTTGCTCTGTACCCATAGGGCTGTCCCTTTTGGCCTCCAGGTGGGGATCAGTGTCCTCTTCATGCTGGGGCACGCACTCTTGGGACCATGGTGGTATGCGGGCCAGTTGGCAGCATCGCCTGAAACATTTGGGGATCTAAAGCAATGACCTGACTCTAGTTTCCTGTCCTAGGAGAGCACTTCACGATGCCCTGAGGAGGTTGCTGGGCTTGTTTGGAGAGACACTCAAGGCAGCTGTTGCCCTGAAGGGCCGAATCAGTGAGCACGTGGGGCTCCTCCTGGACCACACAGGCACCACAGCTGCAGACCAGGCTCCTTCTACAGGTGTGTGGCTGGGTGGGTCCCCTATAGGACTGGGGCAGGCTGCCTTTCTTGTTTCCTGCCAGTGCCCACCTTCTGGAGGAGAAGGGTTGGGCCTCCGTGGAGTTGTCCAGTGCCTGTGGATGGGTTGTGGTTTTGCTTAGGAAATGGGCCATCGTTCTGTGTGTGTGTGTGTGTGTGTGTACACACACGTGTGTATGCTTATTCTAAGGGTGCCTGGGTTGGCCTGCTCCCTGAGAGCCATGTGCCAGTGCCTGTCCCTTTTGCTTCTCCAGCCCTGGAAGAGGTATGGTCAGATGATGTGGCCCTGCTGGAGTTGGACAGAACTTTACCTGAAGGTGCAGAGATGTCTTCGCTGGAGGATATTAGCAGTCATGTATGTGAGAGTTTTTTCATGAGCCCCGAGAGTACGCTGGAATGTGAGCAGCCGATCAGGAGAGTCTACCAGAGCCTCAGCATGGCTGTGGATGGCCTCCTGGAGATGGCTCTGGACTCCTCTCGACAGGTGAGCTGGAGACAAGTGAGTAGGGCGGACACATGACTCCCTAATACAGCCTGATGGACTGTGATGGCACATGGTATCTGGCCACAGCCAAACCCTACAGCCCATGGAGGAGGTCTTCAGTTTCTAGTATTGTGTCTGGTGGATTTCATTTCCTGGACTGGCCTTGGTGTTGACCCTTTTTTTTAGAAACAAAGTATTATTATTATTATTATTATTTTTAAGCAAGGCAAAGTAGTTTTTTTTCCATTCCCCTACCCTCCTTTCAACCCCTCCCCCTCCCCATTTACAAAAGCTATTTCCATGTTTTCCTTCTTTTCTCATTTTTTTCTTACTTTTCCCTTCTTCCCTTTCCTTTCCCCTCTTCTTTGTTCCCCTCCCCATTTGAACATTTTCTTCCTATTGCACAACCCCATTATTTACATTTTGATGGTGACTTTTGAGCTTTGTTGTGGCCACAGTGTTCTTGTACACTTGTCCCCTTAAGTAGGAATCTTCTGAACTGAAATTCTTTTTTTTTTTTCAGACAGGGTCTCACTATGCAGTTCAGGCTGGCCTTGAGCTCACTTTGTAGCCCAGGCTGGTCTCGAACTCGCAACAATTCTCCTGCCTCAGCCTCCCGAGTGCTGGGATTAGAGGTGTGCAGCACCACGCCCAGCCTGAACTGAAACTCTTGAGGAAGCTGGTTTGCTATGAATGACAAATAGAATCTCAGTTTAAGAAAAATGGAATCTCAGTGTAGTTGAGATAAAACCTAAATTCACTTCTTTTACTTTACTTTATGCACTGTTGTAGTTCTGCACTGAATGTTTTCATATTTAGAAATTATCCCTAAGGAAGAGACTTTCGTAAAACTTTTTAGACCTTTTAGACAATTAGGAAAGACATGAAGTGGGAGCATGAGGAAAGCAATAGAAGAGATTCTTTCCCCAAAGTTAACCCAGTTCAAAAAACTCAACATTTTTAATTGAAGAATTGCTGTTGAGGGAGTTTTCCCTCCTTGTGTTGAGATCAGGAGTCCTCTTCCTGACCTCCTGCCCATCTCCTTTCTCCTCACCTATTCTGTGCACCCTCCAGCCATCTTAGGACTGGATGTGGGATTCTGACAAATTGTTAGGTGCTGTCAACAGGCCCCAAGCCTATCGGACACCCTGAAATGGGGATGTGGAGCAAGCACCCTGAGCGATGTGGGCCCACTTTCTCTTCATTCAGAACCCTACCCTTCAGAGGATGTGGTATTGGGGAAGGAACATGGGGAGGTGCTGAGAGAGGTTGGGCCTCTCTGTTGAGGGAAGGGAGCAGAGCCTGGGGAGATATAGGAGCTCTCTGAAGCCCATGTGGGAGGCTGTGAGCAGGGTCTGTTCAGATGGGCCTTATGGTAGGACCTGTGTGCTCATGGATGAGTGGCTGTTGGTTACAGGAAGGGGCAGGTGTTAGAGAGGGTGGAAGCTAGAGGAGTGGTCTCTGGTCCATTTTCAAGGAAGAACCAAGAGAGAGGCCAGTGGACATCTTAAGCCCCGGAAGAGATCTCCTTTGCATTGACTAATGGGGAGGCCAAGGCCCTGGTTGCTCAGATGTCTGCAGGGGTCAGCTGAGGTAGGCATTTTGAGTTTAGAGGTTGACTGGGCCCTCAGCCCAGAGATGGCCTGGAAGCCCCCACCTTGACACTGAGCTGGGGAGTGCTAGGAATAGTGGGGAGGGGGCCGAAGGCTGTCTGTTAAGGGTAACTAGGCTTGTGCAGCATGCTCCAGTGTGGCTCTAGGGGAGAGGTAAAATTCTGCTGGTGTGAACAGAGGCTTTGGTGGTTTTCAGTGTCCAGTTTTGACACTCAAATGTGTTTTGACAGCTAGAGGAAGCACGCCAGCTTCATTCTCGTTTTGAAAAAGAGTTTAGTCATAAAAACGAGGAGATGGCACAGGTTGTCCAGAAACACCAGGAGCTTCTGGAATGCTTGCGGGCAGAGGACACTGCAAAGGCCACGCTGACACTGGAGCTGCACACAGCTGAGGGTGAGTGAGGTGGTGGGGCTGGACAGAAACAGACACAGCCTCACTTGCAGAAGCAGCAAGAGTAAGGGTGTTTAAAAGCAGGGTGTGTAAACAGAGCAAATCTGTGTGGCGCCAGTGACATTTTCCAGTGAAACCTTTGGAGGAATGACTTAGGCTGTTCAAGAACCAGACACAGGCCTTGGGCACACTGGGCACTTGGCATTGTGCTGCCCTGCTGTTTTGGTGAAAGGCATGGCGTGCCTGGCACGTGATCCCTCCCAGCGTGCACATCCACAGGGACCACTCAGCGGCTCTGCACAGGATGGGTGGCAACTGTGTGCTGCTCTTTCTAAGTCTTGTCCTGGGGCCCCTCACTTGTAGAGGGTTAGACCCTGTGCTGCTCACCAGGAGTGACTCTAGAGCTTCCAGTGTGACCACTTGCCCTTCCAGGGTCTGAGCGCCCTCACCTCAGTTGGTTTCTCTTAGGCCTCCTTGAAGGACTCAAGGTGGAGAAGGCGGGTCTGCAGGAAGCACTGACCCAGAAGGAGGCATCAGAGAAGCAGCTAGTCCTGGATCTGGAGAGCCTGGGCCGGCAGCTGCAGCAGGCAGCTGAGGAGCAGGCTGTGCTAAGAGAGGAGCATGCCCTGCTGAAGAGCCAGAAGGAGGCTCAGGCTGTGGAGGCAGAAGCAAGAGAAGCTGGTAAGTAAAGGGGGAGCTTGCCGCTGAGGATCCTGTGTCTGTGCTGTCTCTGTGAAGTGCTGGCTATGGCAAATGGCTGGTGAGGGTCCAGAGGAGGTGGCCCTGCAGGCTGGTGCTACCACGTATCCTGATCTCTGAGGGAGGACAGTTCTTGGGTAGCAGGTTAAAGTACTGGACTCTGAAACTGAGCTCCCTAATAAATACTGTACTTAAAATCAGTGTCTGATGTCACACTTAATTAGGAAAACATAGTTTTGGCACAAGTAGTTAATACATTTCAGACTCTAGATATGTTAGTTTTAAAAATTCAAAATGAAACCAATCACAAACATAAGCTTAAAAGGTTGCTGTTTTTAGGTTACTGCCAGTCAAAACAAATTTGGGAGTTCTCCCGGGACATGGGTGTGTCAGCCTTTGCAGGCCTCCTTGACACCTGCTTTCTCCTGTCTTCTCTCTGTCAGCATCCTGGCCCAAACAGCCCTCTTGCAAATCCCGGCATGCATGTTTGCCTGCAGGTGTGTGTGCACACTCCCAGGAAGGGCCTTGCTGCTCTGCAGTCCCCTTTTAGGAAGTGGTAGCATGAGAGCCAGTGCCTTCTCAACTGTTAACTTCCTGTGAGAACGTGGTTATGTTCACTAACCTAACCCATTCAGAAAAATCTCATTTTCTTTCCAGAAGTTCTTTATTCTTTTTAATTTTTCTTTGTAAAAAACTATCAGCTTTTAATTTTATTCATCACTTTTCTTTGCCTCTGTTTGCTTGATTTTTGCTCTTTATTATTGCCTCCTTGATTTTGTGATCTCTCCTGGGCTTCTTGCTTTCTGAGGTACCTGTTACCTCCTCTTCAGGATGTGAGACTCCATGATCTCTCAGTGGGACACACAGTTCTTCACCTGTGGCTCTTGAGTTGACATTTGGGTCCACTAAGCCTGTGACTCTGAGGCCCAAGGATACTATAGAATGGCTTGTCAGTCCTTGCAAGTGTTCCGTCACAGGTGCCCCGTCTCTGTGTAGGTGTTCTGTGAGGGTGCCTGCTGCTCTGTCCTGCCTCCTTCCCACCTGATTGACAGGATGTGCCCCTCTGTTTGGAAGCTGTGCATTCAGCCAGGTGTCTTCTTACATATCTTCTTCTGTCTTCCTGGACTGATCTGAAGGGGCAACCCTTCTTTCTTCAGGACCTAATGCCTGCCGTTTCCAGTGTCATTGACAGAGCCAGCAGGAAGCTGGGCCGCACTCTGTTTCTGGTTGCCTAACATGCATGTTGGGGATTGTCTTCTGGGGTGGTCTTGGATGGCTTCATTGTGTACTTTCTCTGCCTGTCCCCACCCCACCTCCTGGCACTATAGTTCTGTGCACGTCTGTAGTGCTTCCCTCGCCATGAGCTTCCAGGTGTGCTTGACTCTTTTGGATTCTGTGAACATCAACTGCCTTTCCAAGAGCCTTGAGCAGCCTGGCATCAGGATTCAGCTCTGTGTATAACCCTCTCTGGCTGTGCATTGTGTTTTGTGACCTTCTTTGAGGTGCTCCATCTGTCTTGTTTTTGTATGTTCATTTCCTCTAAAAGTCATTGTAGAGCTCTGCACGCCATGCTCTGTGACCACACAAGGGCAGTTGTGGATGTGCAGGCCCTAAGTGTGGCCTAGAATGCTGCTGGCCCTCCTCTTGTTTCTGCCATCCCTGGTTCAGGCTTCTTGTGTCCATCCCTGTGATGCTTTGTGTTTTCCTTTGTAGGCACTCGTGTCACTGCGGCACATAGGGACTCAGGTTTGTAAGAACAAGTGTGATTTCTGTGTGCTGTACTATATGCTTGCATCAGAGTTTGCAAATTATTTACTAAAGAGAAAAAGTACTTTGGAGCTTTTGTGGCAAACTATTAAAATTATACTATAGTATTCAAGAATCATTCATAAAAATGGACTGAGTTGTCCCATTTCAGTGCTGTAACAAAGCAGGAGAATTTCTCTAATGGTTGCTACAGTTACTAAGCCACAGTTGTACTGTCTTGCAGGAATTGATGTCTTGTGGCAGTTGTAGTTGTTGGGCTGGGTTCCTGCCAAGAGGACCTCCTGAAAGGCCTCCAGGGGTGGGGCTAGGACTGCTGGAACTCTGTCCCTCTTTGGAGCCCCCAGTAGGTCCTCAGCCTGGGTGCACCTGCACAGCCTCTGTAGGTCATGGCTACACCTTGAGGAGGGCTGTAGGCTTGGCCTTCCCTCCCTGCCTGGAAGATAGTATTGTCTGGGCTAAGTAGGAGCCTATGCCTGTTTCTAGGACCAGGCAGTGCTGACTGTCTCTTCCTTCTTAAAAGCTTGTGAATGACATTGTTACAGTTGGGTGTTTAAGGCTAGTTTCCTATAACTGCTGACTTAATAGCATGAAATTTTTTGAGACTATTACATTAATGGTAATGATTGTTGTAAGACTGACAGTTTTTTGCAACCAAAATAACTGTTTTGAAAGCTGGTAAAATAAATCTATTAAGAATTTAATGTTTCAGTTTGTGGATAAGGACTCAGGATTCACCACCAGCAAGCCCCTTTTCAAGATTTGTAGTGTCTGCTTAAATCGCTCAGTGTCTTAATCACCCAATGTATTAGTCTGTGTTGTGTTGCTATAACAGAATTCCTGAGACTGGGTAATTTATAAATAACAGAAGTTTATCTCATAGCATAGTTCTTGAGGCTGGGGAGTCCAAGAGGAAAGGAAGGACCAAGAAAGTGAGACACTAAACTCGCCCAGGAGGTGAAGCCCTGGCAGCTGATCCCCCTTCCAAGGCCCCTCCTAGAGCTGTCAGGTTGGCCCCTGCATCCAGCTGAGATTTTTTTTTTGTCTTGTTTGTTTGATTTGAGAGTCTCTCCCTATGTAGCCCAGGCTGGTGATCCTCCTAACTCAGGCTCCCAAGTGCTAGGATTACAGGTGTGTGCCACCACGCTCAGGTCCCTAGCTGAGTTTTGAAGGGGACAGACTTGAAGCCATACTGGTTAATCTGAGTTCGGCTTTTTATTTACTCATTGCCCCCTTTGCTTTCTTCCAAAGTGCGTCACACCCATATTTTAGCCAGTTTTCACTTAATGCATTCCATTTCTGTTTTCAAAGTAATTTGTCTTTATTTTCAGAGGGTATCTGACAAAATTGTAGGTGTGTTAGGACACAGGGTCGAAGTCTGATAGTGACAGGCTGGTGAAATTCACTGTCATGACGGCTCTGGCCTCTGTCATAGCCCCGAGGGAGGAAAGCTTTGGAAAGGGAAAGAGGCCTGTGGATGGGGGCCCTGCTTGCACCCACTCCCGGGGACACTGAGGGCCTCTCAGTATCTGACTGTTCTGTGAACCCCTCCCCTCTTGGGGTGCACGTGTTATGAGCCCTGCTGTGACATTCTGTGCACCAAGGTGGGCTCCTCCATGTCTGTTTCTCGGTTCCTCAGCACTGCAGAAGGAGGTGGAGACTCTGACCAGAGAGCAGTCAGAGGCCAGGAGGCAGTCAGAGAAGGACCGTGCGGCTCTGCTCTCACACATGCGAGTCTTAGAGTCTGAGTTGGAGGACCAGCTCGTGCAGCACCAGGGCTGTGCTCGGCAGGTGGAGGAGGCGGCCACTCTGAAGCAGCAGTTGGCAGCCCTGGACAAGCATCTGCGCAGCCAGCGACAGTTCATGGACGTAAGAAGTTTGCATGATAGATTTGATTCTCATCCCTAGGAGTCATCGTTATAGTGTGGACAGACTCCAGCATGTGGTTGAGGATGCATGTTTTGTGCTCTTCTGCACAGACAAGTTGCCACGCTGCCCTGTCTCTGGGTGGGCGCTTGGTCCTATAGTGGTGATTCTGAAGGAAGGTTCTCTCATCTTCTTGGCCTACATTTCCTCCTGTGGTCCTGAGAGAAGTTCTAGCAGTTGAATTATAGTCCTGTATCCTCGGAGGTGTCTTTGTGATTCACCTGCCCTATCAGGATCCCTGGGTTGTTTTGTTGGGGCCCAGGCTGCTCTTACTATGGCAACTTTGTGCCAGTTTCCAAACCTTGTCATTAATTGAGGTCTCCTTTGCTTGTCGTGTAAAGACCGTTCCTCTACTTAATGCCATTTTACAAAAATGACTATGATGAGGGGGACCCAGAGCGCACCCTTGCTGGGCGGGTGGACATGCGTGCAGTGGGAGCCTGGTCCTCAGCATGAAGGTTGCTCACAGGCTCCTCTCCGGGGCCTTGCTAACATGTAGCCTCTCGCAGGAGCAGGCTGCTGAGCGAGAACATGAACGTGAAGAGTTCCAGCAGGAGATCCAGAGGCTGGAGGAGCAGCTCCGCCAGGCAACCAGGCTTCGGCCTCCAAGCCCCCATGACAGCCAGGTTGGTAACCCGCTGTGTGCCAGTCCTGTGGGATAGCCAAGTCTCCACAGTGTTTCTAAGATTTGTCTTTCTTTCCATGTCTGCCTCCCATGTGCATGGAAACAGCAGTGCCTGCAGCTGGACGAGGAGGTAGGATGGGCAGCATAGAGCCCACTTGTGCTTTACCCTTCTCCATAGCTGGTGCACACTGTGGTGGCCCGCCTGGTTCCCTCAGCCTTGGGGGAGGCCAGCTTGGGGCCTTGTGTACCACCCTGCTTCTCGCTTGTGTTTCTTGCTTTTGCTTGAGGCTACAGCTCTCTGCATCTGCTTGTCTGAGGTAGCTCTAGTTGATTTGCTTATTTTTTAAAAAAATAAACCTATTTGAGGACACTGGGTTCCCACATAGTTGTAAGATGTAGAGATCCTTTGTTCTCAGTGGTCACATCTGCAGAGCTGGAACCCAGCGCTATCACCTGGTTTTGTCAGAAAGCAGTAGTGCCACCCCAACATCAGGCCAAGAGGACGCTCCTGCTGCCCTTCACGCCACAGCCCCTCCAGTCCCTGGCAGCCATTGAGCTGACCTCTGTGCCGACAACTTTGTAATTTCTGCAATACTGTGTACGTGGCATCTTGCATGTTACTGTTTGGGACTGGCTTTTTCGCTCTTCCTCTTTGTCTAGGTGGTTCTTCCAATTGTTGCGTTCTCCATAGCTCCTTTTATTTTTATTGTTGAGTAATAATAACCCATTCCTTTTGGTCAAAGTAAGTTTTACTTTACTAACGTTTTATATTACTGTTTTTATTTCTACGAAGAGAGAATGCCCTTCTTAAAACAACTGTATTGTATTCTTTCTTTTGATTTCATTGTGTAACCACATATAGAGAAACACAGTGTTTGTCTTTTTTCTGTCAGTTGCATTGTGTGTGTATGCTTAATTTGGAAGGTATGCTTTTTAACAGTCTATTGTATTCCTCGTGCTTTTTTTGTGTGTGTATATTTAGGTTGAATTGTTACAAGAAAAATTGAGAGAAAAATCAGATGGATATAATGAATTGGTTTTAAAGAAAGAATTGGCAGATAGAAGAGTTTTAATTCAGGAAGAAGAAATTAAACGTCTTGAGGAGATAAATGCCCACACCAGAGGACAAGTGGCCCTGCTCCAGGAAGAACTGGAAAAACAGAAAAATGTTGTGAAAAAATTACAAGTAAGGAGTCTTTGTGTCCATGTTTGAGTGCAGTGGGCAGGGCCTAGGGCCGAGGGATGACTTCTAGGTGGCGGGCAGGGCCTAGAGTGTCTGGGGAATGGGGTGTGGGCATGGCTGGGCCTGTGGGGTACCCATTACCGCTACCTGTGACCACCCAGCCTGCCTCAGAAATCTGGGAAAATGAAGAGATGGAGTGGAGGGTGAGGGAGGGGAAGGGGACTGAGCTTATTAGGTGCTACAGATATAGAAAAAGTGTTTTTTCCTTCCATCAGATTGAACATCATATACAACTTTGTGTGTTAATCCCCCCCATATACTGTGAGCATTTGCTCTGTATTAAATGTTCTTTGAAAACTTTTTCATGGCTGTTAATGTCCATATATGAGAGTACTGTTAGCCATGACTTATTACTTGCCAGCCTCTTTCCAATACTTACAAATCAGTAATAGTCGAGTGGATATTCTTGTGTCTTATTGAATAATTACTGAGGATTTTTTGCAGTGGAATCATAGGCAGGTGTCTTGGCTTTCTTTGCCAGGTAGTGCCCAGTGCGAGCCTGGAGCTTGTGTTGTCTAGAGCACGTATGAGCCCAAGTTCATGCAGGCGCACCCACTACTTCAGGAGAGCTGAGAGTGGTTTAGACTTTAATACACAGGAGCCTGAGATCACCAGTTCCTTAACTGTTCGCTTAAAATGAGTTTCTGTCTTTCTCAAATAGGATAAAGAGGCACTAACAGAACCACAGATGAGTGACTTGCTGCATGTGCCCACGTTGCAGTCCAGACCCATTGAAGGCAGATATCCAGTGCTTCTGCTGGGCAGCCATCCTGAGGCCCAGCCAGAGGTTGTGCAGAGGGCACTTCTGCAGGATGAGAATGAGGTGCGTGTGGTGTGGGTCTGCCATGCTGTAGGACACAGTTTGAAGGCTAGGCAGCCAAAAGCTGGTGACAAGTTTTTGATGAGGGTGTATGCTTTGCAACTTTACCATTTTTGTGGGGCTGTTTTGTTTTGTGTTTTTGAGACAGGATCTCACTATGTAGTTCATCCTGTCCTTAAACACACTATGTAGTTTTGTTTTTGAGGTGAGCATAGCATACAGGGTTGGAGTAGGGGAACCAGCAGAGACCACCAGGCGTGTGTAAAGGCAACATGGCATGGAATTTATTGTGCCTGGGTGTAGGCAGGCAGAGAGCACTAAGGCTGTCTACAGGGAAGAAAGAGAAGTATGTCCTTTTTATAGGGATGGAAAGAAGGCAGAGGACATTAGGTGAGAAGACTGTAATAAACACCTGTGGTCAAAATTCTCTGGCAGTCTTGCATCTCAGTGGGCAAAGTCCTTGAAGTGTCCGGGCGTAAGTTTTTGGATGTCTCCAGATGTCCTAGAACCTACAAAATTCCTTGTCCTATATTATCTTCTTTACAATATCCTGTGCCTGCTGAAGACAGCCTCGGTGCTGAGCTGAGTTCCATTCAGAGTAGTGCCTCTGCTGGCAAGCAGGTTGGGGGCTGGAAGAGTGAGGTCTGATCTGAGCCTTACAATGAGGTCTGGCTACATTGCCCAGGCTGGTCTCCTGTTCCCGAGCTCCAGTGATCCTCCTGCCTCAGCTTCGAGCTTCCCAAGTAGGTGGGACTCTAGGTGTACACTACTATGTTTGACTTGACCTTTGTGTTTTACTTCCTTTTCTTTCTTACCACACTGTCCAGCATTTCCACTGCAAAGTAAGATAAGATAACACTGTGGAGAGCAGTTGGTTTTTTTATTTTCTAGTGGTACTGGGGATTCTCACAGAGCTATAGCCCCAGCCTCCCTTTTCTAAGTTTTTGAGCTGGATCCCACTAAATCACTAAGTTGCCCAGGCTAGGCTCAAATTTGTGATCCTTGTGCCTCAACCTTCCAGACTGCTGAGATTATAGGCATGTGCTGCCGCACCAGGCTGCTATAGGTTTTTTGGGTTTTTAAAAATTAATTTAAAAAATTTTATTAGTATATGTTTGCAGTTCATGCAGTGTAGTTAGGGTTTGGTTAGGGTGAGGGTTCTTGGGGAGAGGTTACATGCGCATATAACAGCTAGTTTATTTGTTTTTTTTTTTTTTTTAATCCTCTGCCCTTTGCTTCTCCCACTTCTCTTCCAGTTCCCCTATCCTTTCTTTTCATGCTTGTTGATAATATTTGTCTTAGCTCATGTTGTAGCGTATAGTGTTTGTGTTAGTTGGAATTATTAGGTTCCTATCCATGACCTGTCCTTATTCTTTTTTTTTTTCTTTCTTTTCTTATTCTTATTTTCCATCCCTACCTCCTCACCCCTTGCCCTTGTTCCCTTGGACCATTTCCCTATTTCAAGAGATCTGTTCCCTTGTCCATCTTTTACCATTCTCTTTGAGTACTTTGCCTCACTCAAATGAGGGATGCCATATGGTATTTAAGCTTGTGTGTCTGGTTTATTTCATTCAACATTATATTTTCCAGGTGCATCCATTTTTTACAAATGTCTCAAATATGTCATTCTTTATAGCCAAGTAGTACCCCATTATATATAGATACCACATTTTCTTTATCCAATTATCTGTTGATGGGTATACAGGCTGCTTCCAGGATTTAGTTATTATGAATTTGTTGCTATAAACATTGGTATGCATGTGTCACTGTAGTATGATGACTTAAGCTCTTTGGGGAAGATACCTAGCAGGAAGATAGCTGGATTGTATGGATTTCTAATTTCAGTTGTTTGAGAAATCTCAATAATGGTTGTACTAGTTTGCATTCCCACTAACAGTGCAGAAGTTTTGGTATATTGTACTGACATTATCATTTGTTCTAGAAATTGTCTTGTTTCTTCTGAAACCCATTGCTTAGTGTATTGTTTCATTTCCATGCCTTTGCATAATTGTTTTATTTTTTTGTTGATTACTAACTTCATTGTACTGTGGTCTGATACTACGCATGGCATAATTTCAGTTATTTTACATTTAGTTAAGGCTGATTTATTGGCTAGTATGTGGCCTATTGTGGAGAAAGTTCCTTGTACTGCTGAAAAGAATGTATATTAGGTTGTGTGAAACATTCTATAGTTCTATTAAGTCCATTTGTTCCAAGGTTTTGTTTAACTCTAATATTTCTTTGATTTTTTTTGTCTAGTTATCTCTTTATTTGTGATCATGGTATTGAGTTCTATTATAACTGTGGTTATGTCTGATTGATCTTTTATGTCCAGTAGAACTTGATTTATGAAGTTGGAGGCACTGATGTTTGGTGCATATGTGATAACAGTTGTTACCTCTTCCTAGTGGATGGTTCCCTTAAGCAATATATAGTGACCTTCTTTGCCTCTTTTCATTAGTTATTGTTTGTTTGAAGTTGACTGTGTCTGAATATAAAATAGTTATACCTGTTGGGTGGTGGTTCTTTTGCATACAGTATTGTTTTCCATCCTTTGATTTTTAGTCTATGAGTTTCTCTTTTTGGCTAAATGTGTTTCTTGTATACAGCATAGGGTTGGGTTTTATTTCTTGATCCATTCTACCAGTTTGTCTTTTGATTGGGGAATTTAGACCATTTACATGAAGAGTTATTGCTGGTAGGTATTTACTTATTCCTATCATTGTCTCATTTTCCTGCTTTGATTCCTTACCTTTCACTTCTGTTTAACTGCATATCCTGCCTGGTATATTCATTGTATTAGACTTTTTGTCATTGTTAGCTTCATTATCTCTTTCTAGAATATCCTTGTGAATTTTTTTTAACCTCAGGAATTTTTTTGTGTGCTGGTTTGGTGGTTATGAATTTCTTTAGTTGCTCTTTATCATGAAAGTATTGTATTTGTCCATCAATTTTGGAATATAGTTTTGCAGGATATATCAGCCTGACTTGGAAAGTGTTTTGTTTTAGAGCTTGAAAGAGCTTCACTCCAAGATCTCCTGGCTTTTAAGGTTTCTGTTGCAAAGTCTGCTGTAATTCTAACGGGTTTTCCTTTGTAGGTGGTTTTTTGTCTTTCTCTAACCATTTTTGAGATTCTGTTCTTGTCTTGGACCTCTGGGATTTTGACTGATGTGTCATGGAGAGGTTCTTTTCTGGCTATTTGGGGTTCTATATGACTCACTTACCTGTATCTTATTTCACCTTATTTGGAAAGTTTTCAGCTATTATTTTAGTAAACAGTTTTTTTTTTTTTTAATGCTATTGTGCTATGTTCTGATTTTTCACTAACTTCAATAAATTTTCGATTAGCCTTGGCATATCTAGAAGCTGGTGGATCCAGTTCTCATGTTTTTTTTCAGGCATCTCTCATTAATTGCTCACTGACAAGAGCCCTGTCTGCTAGTTCTGAGATACTGTCCTTCTGCTGCCCATCTTTTCTATAGAATCTTCAACCTCCTGAATTTCTATTTGGAGCCCTTGTAAGGACCCTCATCCTTTTCTATGCTGGTCTTGCATGTTTTGCATCATTTTGTTTAGCTCTTTCTTTTTATTAGTGTCTTCTTTAGACTCACTGATGATTTTGTTTAATTGGCCGAGTATCTTGTTAGTTACATATTCTGTGATCTTGCCAAGTTGCCTTATTGAACTGTTTCGTGATCCCCTGTGATACCCTTTCAGATAATTCAGGTGTGAGGCTTTTGGTTTCCTCCCCTTCAATGCTGCATGGATCAGCCTTGGGGAAGGTGAGAATTTTTGGAGGCATTTTGTTAGCTTGTTTTCTCATGCTTCTATTTTTATTCATTTGTTTTGTGTTGAGGCTTGTGGGTTTATTGTAGTAGAAAGTTTTGTTTCTACTATGTATCCTGTTTAAGTAATGTCTACTTTTTAGTGTCCTCTTCTGGGTGTAGCTAACTACTGACCTTTGCCTCTGTCCCAGGATCCAAACTCTTCCATTTATGTGAGATGAGAATTTGCAGCGTGTTTGGCCTAGTACCCAGTTCTGCTTCAGTGGGCCACAGTTTTGTGAATGACACCAAGGTTTTGAGATATTAGCTTCTCAAGAAAACCACCTAATAGCAAAAGCTATGGCACCTTGGCTATAGTAATAAAATCAGCATCAATTGTGGCATTAAATACAAACTGAATATTGACAGACCCTAAGGACCAAGCAAGTACTACCCTTGTCCATAAAAAAGAGATTATAATTATAGTATGAATACTAAGATGGGCCAAATATTGACCACAGTAAATATCTGCTAAGTGGAACAACTTTACCTGTACTAACAATAGTGTATTCAACAGCAGTAGCATAAATTTAACTATTTATTTAGAGATTCATAAAGCTTAGTAGTTATACTGGTAAAGATGGGTGAGGATCTAGAGAATGAAAAAGGCAGAATTTGAAAATTCAGTGGGATATGAGGGAGAGAAAAGTAAGATGGGGATCCTATTAAGGAGCAAAAGGAAATTAATAGTGATAAACAGCTGCTGGAAGAATGAATGAGAGCAAGAAGAAAAGAGTTACACAGCAAAAACAGGAGAAGAAAGGAGGAAGAGAAAAAAGTTAGAAAGGGATGACAGCTAAAAATTAAATGCATCTTGAGGAAAATCATATAAATCAGTCATTTAAATATTAGGCACAAAAGCATTTAAGTGATGGCAAAAGCATTATTTTGTAGCCATTCTTGACTGAAAAGAGACCGAGTCAGAGCCTCATGGGCTTGAGAGTCGAAGTTCTGGGAAAGTGGTGAAGCAGCTCTAGTGTCTTAGAGAGGAGGCCCGGAGCCTCTGGCGCAGAGCAAGTGCTGTATGTACCTATCACTGTTTGGGTTCTTCAGGCTGACAGATCTCTCCCACATATGGAATGAACTTAGGGTGAACTATGTATCAGAAAGGGAGATGGTGAGGTTTATCCATTTACAACTGGCCTGTGCAATGCGCTTTCTCTTTAGGTTGTGTACCACAGAAGTTCTGAGGTTGAAGAGCTGAAATCCATTATTGAGAATTTGCAAGAGAACCAAGAACGATTACAGAAGGACAAAGCAGAAGAAATCGAGCAGCTCCATGAGGTCATTGAGAAGCTGCAGGGTGAGCTGGCCCTCCTGGGGCCTGTGGTACATGAACTCAGTGACCATCAAGCTGACAGTCTTCGCAGTGAACTGCTGTGCTTCCAGGCTGAGGGCCCCGGTGGGCAGGCACTGCGGGGAGAGCTAGAAGCTGCACTCTCCGCCAAGGAGGCCCTGGCGCAGCTGCTGGCTGACCAGGCGCATGGGCACAGCAAGGCTCTGGAGGCTCTGCAGCAGCGCCTGCGAGCTGCAGAGGAGGCTGCTGCACAGCAACTGGCCGAGCTCGAACACAACATGGCCCTCAGGGAGGCCGAGGTTGAGGGCATGACCTCCCGGATCCAAGAGTTTGAAGCTGTCCTCAAGGCAAAGGAAACAATAATTGAGCAGAGAGATTTAGAAATTGATGCTATGAACAAGCGGAAGGAGGCTCACTTTGCCGAGCTGGAGGCCGTCCTCTTGGCTGTGGCGCACTTCCGGCGTACCTTAGAACAGCAGCCCCCAGCCAGCCCAGAGCCTCCTGAGCTGCAGCGGCTGCGAGCACAATGTGTCCGCCTTAGCCGCCAGCTGCAAGTACTGAACCAGTGGTTCCTGAGGTGCCAGGTGGAGCTGGATAAGCAACAGGCCTGTGGGGTACCTGAGACCCACCCACACCTTCCTGTGGATACAGAAAGTGGCAACCTGTTGGAGCAGGGAGGTCGCAGCAAGCGACTGGCCTCCACCTCTCGTGGGCGGGGTCCACAGGTAGGTCTGATTCCCTGGGGGCTGCGAGTTGCCGAGGCCTGGCTTCTGTACCTGGGACCTGAGGCATAGCTGGGGTTACCCAGGTGTGTGGATGCTGGCTTGTTTTCACTCCTTTTACTTGAGTGACTGCTTTTGTTCTGGGCAGTGGGCTGCAGTCAGCCTTGGAGGCTCCTGGCAGGAAAAAGAGGTGAACCTGGAGCTCGCCCTACTTGGGCCTGGCTGGGATTCACCAGCAAGTCATGCTTGGTCCTACTGTTCTGTACAAATTAATGATTCATTGCTTGATTGTCGTTTTTTGGGATAAGATTTCACTATTCATTATGCAGTGCAGGCTGGCCTCAAACTTAAAAGTGATCCTTCTGCCTCAGCCTCCCGAGTGCTGGGATTGTGGGCATGCGCTATCATGCCTGGCTCTGTACAGTTTTAAACTTATCATTTTAAGTCATGCAAGGTTTAAAAACAGCTCTTCCTTCAATGCTGTAGGGACTGTACTGTGACATGGAGGTCACTTGGTATTAATTTCCCTCTCTGGTTCTAATTAGATGCTTTATCTTTCAACAAACATTTCCCATGTAAAATATTGTTGAGCTCATTTCATTTTAGAACAGAAGACCCTACATAAATTGTCATTTTTAAATGTCTTGGTTTGATTTTGAGTAGCACTTGTGAGATTAGCTGCTTAGTGCCTCCACCAGCTCAGCTCTAGGTGGACCAGCTCCAGATCCCAGGTGCCCCAGCTACTGCTCCATGGTCCTTAGTGCCAGGGGTATGAGGAGCTGTTCTGGCTGAGGCCTTGCTCCTGTGTGCCCCTGCAGTGAGCTGTGGCAGGACTGCCTTCCCTGATGACCTTGGGGACAGCCGGGTAGCATCAGAGTGTCTCATTCATCCAACTCTACCTTCTAACCATCCTTCCCATTTTCTCTGTCAAGGGTGATCTGCAGCCTGCCAAAGTCCTGGTGACACTGAAGGATGCTGACCTCCAGAAACCAGAAAGTGTGATGTCAGTGCTTACAGTCTGCCAGAGGCAGCTGGAGGCAGAGCTGCTCTTGGTGAAAAGTGAGATGCGTCTGAGCATGGAAGATGATACTAGGGCTCCGGGGAGAATGAAGGTACTCAGGTGTGGGGAGTACAGTGCATGGACGTGAGCAGGTACTTAATTGGGGGATGTTGGTGTGTGGGCATACTCATCCTTAGGGTGAGGAGGGACACAGCATGTTCCTCACACCTGGCTGAGCTCAGGACATTGGCCTGCGGGGGATCAACCATAGGCTACATGCGATAGTATGTTGTCTGAGTCCGTCTGCCTTTCTGTAGCGATGCTCCTGATCCATTCTGAAGTCTGCAAACTTTAGAACTCTGACACACACATTTTACATGGACTGAGCAGCTAGATAGTTGTGTTATAAAGACCATAGTGCCTTGTAGCTTTACCCTGGCTCCAGAGTTTGTCAATGACCATGTCTTATTTTGAAAGACTTCAGATTTAGTTTCTTTGAACCTTGTATTTTCAGTTCAAGAAACGTTCATTTCCTTCCCTGGGGGAGGAGGGTACACTTGGGCAACCTCAGATTGCCACAGAGTAAGACTCATCCAGAATGTAGTGTGGTGCTCTTTGAACCCATGTGCGCCCAAGGCCCCTCCTGGAAGCACTGGCACTGGTTGGAGCTGTTCTGCCTGGAGCATACCTCATGTGTTTTGAGTGGCCCTGTCCTGCTGCTGTCAGTACAGCTTCCTGCTGCTTGGTCTGCTGCCCACTGTCTTGTCCTCCTGCCCACTGTCTTGTCCTCACTGTTGCATGTAAAACAGACCAAGACCTCTTAGCCATGTTCTGACACACAAAAGACTCTTCAGACCCAAAGTGTTAGATTAGTTGTTTTCCCAAAGGAAATGTCAAAGCATGAGTGGAAGTGTCAAAGCTGCAGCCCCTTGTGGCCTCAAAGTGAATGTTGTGCTAGTTACTGGGAGGCGGGGTAGAAGCCCTGACCTCCCAGCCCGCTCCTGTCTGTGCCTTGTATACCACATTCATACTGAGAGTCTGAACAATTCTGAATTCCGAAATGCACTGGCCCCATGCTGTCAGAACAGGGTGTGAGCCCGGGCAAGGCTTTGCAGAGAAGATACATGGATCTAGTTTTCCGTGTCTTCAAGTGTCTCATTCTGTGTAGAGACCTTTTCCCCGGCTCTGTGCAGCAGACTCCTCCGTACCCTCAGGATGGGCACTTTGTGATTTTAGGACCTCACTCAGCCTTCAGGGGACACAAGCTAGCAGGCTGCCAGGTTCTCGAGGGTGCTTTCCGTGTTTGTTATACAAGCCACAGCTTTGTTGTAACTGCAGCACTCAGGTATAAAGCTACGTTTGGGTTAAAGCTCAGCAATGCTGGGCAGATGCTGTGATGCTGCCCACACCTCAGCCCCTAATACTCAGCATCCACAGGCTCTAGTGTTGGTTTTCCTCACTTAAAAACAGCTTGTGGCTTCAGTAAATTACCACAAGAATAGGTTATGACAGCTGTTTTTCATGACATTAAATTTGAAATCCTACGTATGTGGAGAGATCAAAGATCCCTTTGTGGACACAACTGCACAGGTGCTCACAGGCTCTGATCCTGGCTTGTTGGTAACTGCGTGGTGCTGCGTCCCTTGTCTCACTGTGTGCCTGTTTTTATCTGCAGGGTAAGGGAAAATGGATGGAAGATTGTCGGCTGAGAAAAGTTGATCTCATAGCTCAGGTGCAACAACTTCAAGAAAAACTGAACTGTCTGGCACATTCTATGGCTTTCCAGGACATTGACCTTGTAGGGTCCGGGTTCCAGCAGCCCTCGGCATTGACATACCTGCCAGAAAATAGCTCCAATGCTAGTTCTCATGGCAGGGCAGAAGCAGACATACTACCTCCTGTTGATTCACTTAATAGCGATAAATCTACATGGGATCTAACTGATGTTATTAAGAATCAGGATTCCTTGATCGGAAATGAAATGCCAAATTCCCCCACTCAAGAAAAAATAGAACCCAAGGATGGGTGCCTTTCCTTACAAATCAGTGTTCATGGTGGCTCCCTCCACGCTGAGGAGGCAGAGCCCCTGAAGGACCCGGGAAAGGTGCTGGACCTGTCTTCTTGGAGCTCCCCTGAGGTCTTGCGGAAGGATTCCAGCCTTGAGCCCCGCCCCAGCATCCCCCTGACACCCTTCTCAGGTGCTGTGAGCTTGTGCAGTGCTGAGGCCTCCCCCAAGGACCCCATACCCTGGCTGCTGCAGAGTAACCTGGGCGGGTCCCCAGGGGAACAGACCCCGCTGTGGACAGCAACCCTGCCATCTGATCACCAGCCTGTGGAGAGGATGGCTGCGGTAGGTACTCCTGCTCTCTCCAGCCAGGTTCACACAGGGACGTGTCACAGCAGCTGCCATTGTTGACTCATGGCATATGGCACCTCCTGGGCGGGGTGCTGCAGGACTCGGCCACAGAGCCATGGCTGCTTCAGGGTTCCCAGCATGTGAACTACGTTGGCCTGGCAGAGGCCACCAGGGGCTCCTTCGCTGATACAGATTCTGACAGCACAGTCATAAACCATCCTTTTGTGTAATTTGTCTACATTGGTTTTATATTTAGTTTCAATAATATTTCATATTTCACAAGTTGCACATATGATGCTAATTAATTTTAAAACAATTATTTTTCAGTTAGGTCATATTGCCTAACAATAACGTTGGGATTTTGTGTATATAGAGTGAGAAACTTGGGATGTTATCTGAAGTATCCATCTACTATCATTTCATGCAAAAACTTAAAAACTTCTAAATATTTGCTAGTGGCTACTTTAATGCCGTGAGTAAATCTAAGTTGTTGGGAGTGCATGGCCTCAGTGTGTTCACAAGTTCTGAATGCATTGATCTAGGTTCTACACAAGAAGATCATAATTTGGCCTTAGAAAGTTTCTGTGTGGCAATTTTAGCTCTGTGATATAATAAATTACTATTTTGTGATCATCTAAAAGTCTCCCTGTCTGAACAGGAGAAGGATGTTGAAGATTTTACCATAACATCTTTTGATTCTCAAGACATGTTAAGATCCCCTCCTCCTGGGTTAGAAGGAAGAAATGATGAGAGTGAAAAAAGTGAGTCAGTCATGTTTTCTTATCTGTCATTTTATCAGTTTCAGAACACAGACTGGTATGAAGAATCCCACAGTGTCCTCCCAGCATTCGTGTTCACCATGCCTCTCCTCAGTGCTCTGAGTACAAGTTCGACCTGATGCCACTTGGCCACTCAGTGCTCCACTGTGCTTTTCACGGCATCTGGGTCACAGCAGCACACTCAGCAAGCACCAGGAGCTGCCACTGCCCCACAGCTGGTGTCTCGTCCTTAGACTTCCTCAGATTTTGCCAGTTGTCTCAATAGTGCGCTCTATAGAAGGCTTCCCCAACCCCTGCTTGGTGGTCTGCATTCCAATGCCAGGCATGCAGAGTGGGGAAGAGCCAGCCAGGTGTGCCAGCCCTGTGAGCACCTCGTGCTCCACCTCCCGAGCTTGTCTGTGAGCACTTTCTCTGCTTCTCTCTGAGTTTCCAGACACTTGAGTTTGGGGAGAGCAAGGCAGTGGTTTGTAGGGTGCTGTGTTCTCTCTCTGCCCTTACGACAGGAAGTGTGTGGGATCACCATGGGTCCCTTGGCTATGGTTGTATCCACAAGATTTTCTTCCTTTTTCATGGGCGGGTTTTCTGTGAAGAGACTTGGGGAATGTGAATATTCTCTTCTTGAACTTCATCCCTTGGCCTCAGCCTCTCTGGCAGTTCTTGCCTGGACCAACAACCGTTAATTGTGGTTGGTTATCAGACCACCATCTTTTAGCGTCATACTTCTACCATATAATGTTTCCCTCTTCCCAGTTAGCATGTGAAGTGTTTTAATTTTTAAAAATCATCATTGCCTCTTACAGTGATTCTGGAAATAAGGTGATAGTGAAATGTAATTCACTGGAAATTTAGCATTATAGAATCTTGATACAAGAAAGATTTGTTTGTTGTGAGACAGTCTTGCCGTGTAGTTCAGGCTAGCCTTTTTTTTTTTTTCTTTTTTTTGGTACTGGGAATTGAACTCAGGACCTTGCGCTTGACAGGCAGGCACTTGTGCCACTGAGCTGTATCCCTGGCCCCAGGCTATCCTTGAAATCACAGCAATCCTGCTTTAGCTTCCCAAGCACTGGGATTACAGGAGTGTGCCACCACACCTGGTTAATTTTATTTTTCATTTATTCCAAGTCATGAATAGGTGGCCGGTTGAGCAGTCTATAAGCCATGTTCCACAGTAGCCATCTATCTGTCCCGACTCAGGATCACTGTTGCTTGGGGATATCCACCTGGGTCAGATTCTTAGAAATGTGATAATCTGTCTTATTTTCAGATCACTCTTGCCATTTAAAATAACATGTGAATGGCACAGCAACAGATCCCTTGCTTCATCCTCCTTGTCGTATGTGTGCCTCTCGCACACTTGAGTTTTCCCTTGTTCCAGGTCTTGTTACATGTGCCGTTGCTGGTGCATCAGTCTCCTTGTCCCTCCTTGGTGGTCTTATTTTAAGAAAGCTTCTGGAGAAGCATTTGGCAGGAGACCCCTCCCTGGTGTTGGTCATTAGTTGTGTCTGAGTTGAAAGTAGTATGCCGTGGGCCTGGAGCTCCAGCCCGGCCCTGCCCTGCAGCCCTGGACCCTCAGGTGATGGGCAGGACCTGGTGGGTGTGTCTCTCAGAGAACTTCCTCTTTTTGTTTTTGAAGCATTTCTCCCATGGTTTCCCTCCTCTTTCTCTAATTCTTACTAATGAAATAATGGACTTCCTAATTTTCTTTGTCTCTTCTACTCATTTTTGTTCTCATTTCTAAGAGGTTTGTCAAGAACTTTGTCTTAACCTTTGCATTGAGCTTTGTGTTTCTACTCTCACCTTTGGGAGGGCTGGGAATGCGTCTCATTCCCCAAGGGCTCCTTTCTTTCAGAGCTTCATTTCCTTGTTTGCTGGGCAGTGAGCACCTTCCTGTTTCTCTTCATATGTTATCTGTAATCTTTCTGGTGTTTTCTTCTGTTGTTGCTTCTCCTCGTTGCGATGTTTTGTTCGAACATTTGCTTTTTTGCATGTCTGAGATGTTGGACTGACCCATCCTCACAGCAAGACCTTGTCTTTAGATCACCTTGCACCCTACCTGGGTCTAGAGCTCCTGCCAGTGAGCTGGCTGCTGGTGGGGGAGCTTTTCCACTGGGCACTGCCTCCTGCTGGCTTCATTTCCTGCCTCATGCCCACAGGCTTCCCTGGGCTGCAGGCCCAAGAACCAGATGGACCTATGTACAGAAGAAAGGCTGGAGGCCCCACTGTCAGCCGGGGTGCCTCGTGCCCCTCGTCTGGACTGTGTTTTGGGCTTTCCCCACTCTACCTCACTGCGCGACAGGTCAAACACTGTCACTTATTCTGAACCAGACATTTGCTTCCCTTCAGCAGTGCCCAGCCTCACCCCGAGGTCACACCCTTGCTTGTTGATAAGAGGTGTATAAGCCCTGTGCGTGTCCTACTGCTCTTGACTCACATCTGGTTGTCTGTGGGGATGAGGATCAGCATGTCAACTTTGTAAAAGAGAGCTGAGGTACCCTTGAGGTTTAGGTTTAAGTCGTGGAGATTAAATATTAAACCTGCAAAATAGGTGTCTCTTTCTTCCTGTGTGTACACCTCATCTTAGTTATGTGTTACAAAAGTGCTTGTACCACTTTTGCCTGGTGCTCATCAGTATTTGTTTCAGTGGGAGGAGCTGTGGTGGTGTGGTTCAGCACTGACCCTATGGTGCTCACAGGTGATGGCCCAGGCTATGGAGCGATGCTGAACCTCGGGTCTGGAAGGCCTGCAGCTCCCACTGCTGGTCCTGTGACTGCTCCTCCCATCTCCAGAGGGTTTCTGCAGCCTCCAGGAGTGATGCAGGAGGAGGTCCACACAAAGCATGTGAAGGTAAGGTGACGGGTGGCGGGGAGGCACCTCGCACCTGCCACCCTGATTGTTTTTCTGTGTGTGAACCTTGCATGGGTGGCTGTGAGGGTCAAGTGTAGTTCTAATTTTATGGCTTCTGTGTTTATGGAAGGATAGGCGCTGCCACTGGAGGGCACTGTGGTTGTGGGAGGGGGACGGGCTCTGCCTGTGTGTTTCTGAGTTCATAGAGTCAGAAAAGAGGAGTCATTTTCCTGGATTCCATTATCAAAGGTTATGGTCTTTTGGGGAGTGACTGTGTTTTCTTTTTTGTTGTTGTCTGGCTTTGAAGAAAGCCTCAGGCACCCTCTGCCTCTCTATGAGCTGGGCCAATGGTCCCTCATCCCCTGTGGAGTGCTAATTAGATAGGTGTGTAGGCCCTGAGGGAGGACCCACCAGATTTCCTCTCAAACCCACTGCCTTCAGGAGAGCAGCATCCTGTCCCTCCCTGTTCTCACATGTGTCTTCTCTGAGGGCAGCACTGGGCAAGGAGACAGTGTGTCTTGCTGTTTCTCATGTTAATTGTGTGCAGGGCAGGTGTGTTGGTTGGGGGATATTTTTGCAAGGGAACACAATATAATACAGAACACATATTTTATATGATTATTTATAATAGTCACCCAAAGAACAATATATAAAAGAGTGCAGGAAATCTGTCCATAGACTATAGACCAAGAATCTAGCTGAGGCCCCGGATCCCACAGAAATGTCCTGCATGAGTCCAGCTAAGGACCTAGAGCTCGTAACAATGCCTCCCAAGAATCCAACTGGAGGCCCAGAGCCCATAACAATGTCTCATGCAGGCCTGTTTCATGGATCTGCACTGTGAAGGCCCAAAGGTTAGTGGTGGAATCTAGGAAGTCTGTGCCAGCAGGATGAAGGATCCATGCTAGCAGGCTGAGGGATCTACACTGGAGCCAGGAAGCGATGCTCAGAAGAACCAGAGCTCCCCTGAAACATACCACAGCCATCCTCAGCAACCGTGAGGTCCCGAGCTCCTCCGATGATCAAGATGGTCGAGTTCCCATCAAGGAAGCCAATGCAGCAAGCTTCTCCAGGAGATTGGCAGTGCACCTTCTTCCCCTCCAGAGCCAGGAAGCAATGCTCAGAGTGAGGACCAGAACTCCCCCAAAGTGAACCAAAGCCATTCTCAAGTGCCAGTGAGGTCCCAAGCTCCTCAGAGGATGAAAACAGCCAAGTTCATCAGGAAAGCCAGCATGACGAGCTCCTCCAAAAACCAACAGCTCCTTGTAGCTTCCACCAGTTCCAACAGCCTTTCTCTGCTCCCAACAGCCTCTTTAGTTCCCCAAAAGCCTTTCTTCTTCTTCTCCAGGTCTGCCTCTTATGCTGCTGACAACAGTCCCCAGGTGGGCCTCCCACACCCAGCACCACCCTTAGTCAGTTCAGCAGGGGGTTATAAGTTGACCACCAGTTTTCAATCCACTACAGCAGGTATCACCATGAGAGTCTCCCAGTTCCTACTGAGGCCAACAGCACCCATACGTCTTCTCCTAACATGCTGTCCTCCATAGGAAGAAGGCGGTGACACTTTCAGGCATCCAACCATGCCTCTGTTTGTCAAGAACTTTGTCTCTGTTGAGCCTTGCTCACCTAGTTAACTGTATGCCCAATTTCAGTGATACTAAGTTCTGAAGTTGTATTTGGAATAAAACTTTATTTTACTCCTTTAAGAGTGGAAATTGGAACCAGGTGTGGTGGCACATGCCTCTAATCCTAGCACTTGAGAGGCTGAAGCAGGAGGATTGCCTCAAGTCTGAGGCCAGCCTGAACTACATAGACTCTGTCTCAAAAAACAAATAACAAAAGTCTTGCTAGGTGTGGCAGTGCGTACATACAATCCCAGCACTCTGGAGGCTGAGGCAGGAGGATTGCCGTGAGTTGAGGTCAGCCTGGGCTACATAGCAAGACTATCTCAAAAAAAAAAAAAAAAAAAAAAGCAAAAACAACAAAAATCCCAAAGGAATGAAAATTGGAGTAATTGATTTATTTCCGTCATTACATTCCTCTAAACTTTATACAGTATGAAATATCAAAGAAAGGGTTTTCTACCCAAGCACCCTAATAATAACAGAATTCCTAATTTTCAGAAGTAAATTTGGTTGTTAGTGGTAATTCTTTGTATTTTGTGTAGTAATTGAAAAAGGAAAGGAAGCCAGAGGAGGTTCCTGAGGTCTTTGATTAAGCAACCCCAAAGTTGCATGAGGCCAGGGCAGTGCTGGGTTGGGTCAGATCCAGGCCACACAGAACCAAAAATCCTAAAAGGTGCTTTTGTTTGATTTCTCAGACTGTTTCAAACTAGCATTTCCTTTTATTGTTTTACATTTCTAAACTGTCTTTCTGGAATATTAGAGCACCCTTGAGCCGTGCCCACGTACAGTGAGGGCTTGGCAGTTGGTGAGTGCCTGCTTGCACCTGCTGACTGCATGCCATAGGGTGCTGCTTCCTTAGCACGTGTGGGTGCCTGGACTCTGCAGTTCCCCTGTGTGGTCCCCATGTATGGTCTGCATGTGTGAGCAGTATGTAGTCTCTGGTTCCTGTGTGGTCTTTGTGTGGTTTCCATGTGTGGGCACCATGTAGGCACTCCATGGCCCCCACCTGGTCACCACATGTGGTCTCCATGTATGGTTTCTGTGCGTGGTTCCCACGTGGTCTCCGTGTTCTCCCTGAGTATGGTCTCTGTGTGGTCCCATTGTCGTCCCTGTGTGGTCCCTGTTTGTGATCACCGTGTGGCCTCTATGTGTGTTCTCTGCGTCTCCCATGTGTGGTTACCATGGGTCTACCACATATGTGTTCTTGTGCGTAGTTCCCATTTGGTCCCCATATGTTTCATATCTGTGATCGGTGTGTGTGCCCATATTAGTCCCATCTGTGTGCCCCGTGGAGTCCCCATGTGGGCTCCTTGTGTATGTTCCCCATGAGGTTCTTGTGTTCTCTGTATTTGTCCCCCCTGTGGTTCTCATGTGCCCACCATTTTTGTAGCCCTGACACTGGGAGCTGGGAAGATTGGGTCAGCACAGGGAGGTCCTGAGCAGAGGAGGTCCCGGGCATGCTCAGTCACCTCCAGAGGCCCTGAGTACAGGATGTGTAAGTGGAAGAGCTGTGGGTCAACAGAAGTAAATGAGAACCTTTGGGCAGAAGAGGTGGGAGGCTGACTGCCTGGTGGGAGACACATGTAAGCTACTGCTCCCATGATGGAACCTTCACAACCCTAGTAACTGGGCCCCACGCAAGACCATCACTATAGACTGAGTGCTGAGCTGCCTACAGTGTCCAGTGCTGGTGGGCCGTGCCTCACTTCCTGTCATGAGCCAGGAGGTCACCGGCCCCTCGGCTCCCACTGTTCTCTGTGCAGATGGAGATAGGTCCTTTGGAGCCGTGCTGCCTTCTCACTGTTGTCCCCGCTGGAGACCTCAACTTAACATCAGTTTTATGTGGAACTTAGTGCTAGGGCCCTGTGCACACTAGGCAAGTGCTCTGCCATTGAGCTGCAACTCAGCCTCCAAATACATTTTTACAGTAAAATTGCTTTAAATTATCAGATTATCTCTAACACCAACATAATACACAGTATGGTTCCTAACACTTTTAATATACTATGGCAAAGTATATTTCCAGTTAGCTAAATATACTCCATCATAGGCCCTGTCATTGCTTAATTTTGCATTTCCCACATTTTAGACTTTGTTAGTTTTTTTAAAGAAACTCATTTTTAAGCCTCACATTTTTAAGCCAGGTGTCTCAAGTAGGAGCTTTTGTTTGCAGTTGTGATGTGTCCAGATGCAGTAGAACTGGATTCTCGTCAAGCACTGGCTTCCAAGACCCCTTCTCCCTCTCTCATCCCTTCTGGGCAGAGCTAATGTCCCTCATGGCCTATAGTGAGCCCTCTGGCCTCAGGGTCTGAGGAGACCATACTGTACTCACAGACCTGTGGGCTGCAGGGGCTGATGCTCTGCCTTTGCCTCAGCTGGCCATTGCTGTTAGCCTCCAGCTGGGCCGTGTGCAAGGGCCTTTATGTGGTCTCAGCAGGGCCAGGGACACCCTTAAGACTCTTTCGTCCTGCCCAGCCTGGCCCAGGTGTAGAAGAGGCTCAGCACTGCACAGAGAATAGGTGAGGTGGGAGGAAATGGAGTGGGCCTGGCTTTGGAGGATATCCAGAATCCCTTTTCAGCCTGGTTTCTTGATTTGAGAAGTGGGATGGATGACCGTTCGGAATGCCCCCTCATGGTGCCTTGTTGGCGGCAGAGTGGCCATCCTCCTGCGCTGCAGCCTGCTCCTCACCTAGCACCAAGGTGAGGTGGCCAGCAGAGTGCATATAGGGGTGTCTTCAGGCCATTTTCCCCTTCCTGATGTTTTTCCTCCTGCAGGCTTTGCTGCAGATGGTATGTGATGAGAGCCACCAGATACTGGCCTTGTCGGAGAGCCGAGACCTCCCCAGCACCCTGAGCAAGGGGGAGCCATATGCTGCCCTGGCCTGCTTCCCAGGCGAGGGGCAAGGCCTGTTGGAAGTGGCCCCCGAGAAAGAGAAGGTATGGAATTGTTCAGTAAGTGAGGGAGGGGCTTTTTTTCTTTTCTCTTTTTTCTCAGTGCTGGGGATGAACCCAGGGCCTGGCATGCTAGGCCCAGGGTTCCACCACCAACCTACACTCTAGCTGGGGAAATGCACTTTGTGTGAATCTCACCCAGTTTTCAAAGGACCTCCAAGCTCACAGCAACCAAGGGGAGAGAGATACAGGGTCTGTTTAGTACAGCACAGAGTGGAAACAAGACCTGCCGCCCCCACCCCATGGCTGAACTGGCTCTGACTCCTATTCCCAGCAGATGTGCCTTGGGGGCTCCATGTGGTCAGAGGAAAGTGGTCCCCTTGTGACCTGAGGGGACAAGGCCAGAGGTATTCTCCTGCTCCGGTGACTCTGAGAACTTGTGGGGACCTGTAGGCGGACCCCACATTTCTTCATCCAAACCTGGGCTCACTCTTGGACCTGGCCTGTACCTGTGACCTGGCCTCTACCTGTCACCTGCTGTCACTTCTCAGAACCCAGGGGCCGTCACAGCACAAGGAAATGGGCACCGAGCCCCATCTGGCCCAGAATGAGCCTCACGCTACCTCCCCTGCAGCTCCCACCCCGTTTCTTCCTGCTGAGGTGAACATGCCAGGAGGGAAGGAAGGACTGTGTTCCTGTGCTAGGAAAATGATAGCCTGTGGCTGGTACCCACTGGGTGGCCACCAACCCTGCCTCACATAGGCTGTGTATTCTTGAGCCGTGGAATGCCTGCACCTGGCCGCAGTTCCTGGAGACCACTGGGCCCTCTCTAGACTAGGGCTGCATTGGTGCAGCAGTGAGAAGAGGAGAGGCATTTAGGACCTCTTGTCTGGTAGAATTTCACCATCTTCTCCTGTGTCAGCTTCTGCTCATGATGGTGACGGCTGCCTCTCACATTTGTGTGTCCCCTCCCCTGTCAGAGCTGCTGCCTTTGCTGTCCCTCTGCTCAGCTGCCTTGACAAAGCATCATAGATTTTATTTCTAATGGGTCTGGGTGCTGGCAGTCTGAGATCTGGTGCCAGGAGGGCTGGGGTCAGGTGAGGGCCCAATTCTTGGCTTATAGATGGCCTCGTCCTTGTTGGGTCCTCATACAGAGAGAGTCAGAGACAGCGCTGGTGCCTTTTCCTTTTTCTGTGAATGACCATAGTCCAGCTGGACCTAGGGCACCCTATGACCACTTCATTAGTGAGGTCCTGTCTCTAACTACAGTCTTATTGGGGATCAGGGTCCATCATGTGAATATAAGGGACTCAAATATTTAGCGCACACAGTGCTTGCAGCATGTACTGGGGAGAGCACTAAGACACCTTCCCTTTCCTCTCTTCCTTTCTTCCTTCCATTTATTTCTTTATTTGGTAGTACTGGGGATGCAGCTCAGGGTCTCATGTATGCTGGTCACCTGTCTGCCACTGACCTGCTGCACTGCAGCTCAGCTCTAAGGTTCTTGCTCCAACTTTACAGGAGCCCCTGGACTCAAGCCTCAGCTGGAAGGGGGAGTTTCTACAGGCCACACAGGAGATATTTGCAAGGGAGCAGAAGATGGTGCAAGCAGAGCTGCAGCCCAGACCCTGTGGCTCAGACCCAGGGGATCACAGCTCCCCGTGCAAGAAGCTGGAGAAGGTCACCCAAGAGCAGGTGAGTATTTCCTCTGCATCTGTGACTTGGAGCCAGAAAGGGTGATGGACTCTGCTTCTCCGTGAAATTTGATTCCCGTGCTCTTCACCTTGGGATGTGGTAGCGACTGGCAGGGGAAGCCCTGTGTGGTGCTGAACATTCATACTTGGGTCCTCACAAACTACTGGTTCTCCCTGAGTCTCACTCCTGTGGACAGAAGAGCCATTCTCAGGGGCCTCCCAGCTATCAAGCACACTGCTCACATGATGGCCATCAGCTGTGCAACAGTGTGGACCCTCTGCACCTTGGCACCTAGATGAGTAGACTGGTGCTGAGAGCAAGGGCTGCGTAGCTGCACACCAGGCAGAGCTGCAGGGAGGGGCCCAGGAGCAAGGTCTGAGTGTACCCCTCCACATTCAGGGTCAACAATCGGTGTCCTGTGGTGCGGGAAGCTGAGGCTGAACAGGGTGGGCTGCGGAAAGCAGGGTGTGCAGGGCTCCTGCCTTGCTGCTTGGTGCCCTCATGTTTCACAGAGATTCTTCTCCCTACCCCAGGGAGACCTGCAGGAGAAGGCCTGGGAACACCTTTCCCTGCCCGACAGGAGCAGCCTGCTGTTGGAGATTCAGGCCTTGCGTGCCCAGCTGCGCATGACACACCTGCAGAACCAGGAGAAGCTGCAGCAGCTGTACGCAGCACTCACGAGTGCAGAGGCCCGCAGCAGCCGACGGGAACATCAGTTGCGCAGGCAGGGTGGGTGCTACCCCAGAGCCCTGTAGGGGCAAGTATGAGAGCCCCAGGGGAGCTGGTGCTGGAGTTCAACAGCCTGTCATTAGTTCCCACTTCTAACTTAGGTTCTTGAGGAGTTTTTTGTGGGCAGGTTATCTGCCAACTGTTTCCTTTCTTGGATTCTGTGCTAGGCTGGCCCTGGGCAGATGCCCTTCCTTGCTCCCTGTTGCTTGTGTGTGGGTTTTGTGCGAGGAGGCGCCTCTGTTCCTGCTTGTATCTGTCAGGCAGAGTAGCCTAGTAGGGGCTGTGACCCTGTGTGCTGGGGCTTTGCCAGCGCATTTGTGTGCACAGGGGCCTGCCCTGTAGTTTTCTCCCATGTCCTTTTCTAACTGGGGTGCTGGGAGGCGCTGGCCTCTCCAAGGGAAGCGTGTCCTCTCTTGTATTTTCCAGGAGAATTTGTTAAAGATGGGGCAGTTTCTTCCTCAGCTTCTGATAGACTTTTTCAGTGAAGCCCATATGGGCCTCGAATTTTTTCTGTGGAGGGCATGTGGCCTGTGAGTGGTACGGTTGGCCTGCACTATAAGAAGGCCTTAGGGATACATTGTCAGTGCTGGTCCCAGTGCGCCCAACCAGGAGAGCAACGCCTAAGAGGAAATGAAGTATCCCTGAATGACCTGGCTCCCTTAGAAATGATGGCTTCCAGTTCTCAGAAATGCCACCACTCCCGACCATGAGCACATCCCCCACCTAATGAATGTCCTTTCTGACTTAGTATCCTTTTCTGTTTTGCACTTTGAACCCATGAATAATGCTGTCATGTTTTTAATTTTTCTCAGTTGAATTATTGGCATACAAAGTTGAGCAGGAAAAGTGTATAGCAAGTGACTTACAGAAAACCCTGAATGAAGAGCAGGAGAGAGCAAGGGGTGTGCGGCAGCTCTTGGCAGTGGAGCAGAGCACTGTGCAGGACCTGCAGTCAGAGCTGCGTGAGTGCCAGCAGGAGAATACAAGGCTGCTGGAGTCCCTTGGAGAGGCGCAGCGTGAGGTTCTCCAGCTGAGGTATGGCCCTGCCTGGCCTATTCTCTTTCAGTTGAAGTCCTGCTATCCTTGGGTCTGCCGTGGTTGGCAGGGCTGCAGGAACCTTTGGGCTTCGGGTCTGGGAAAGAAGGATGGAGCCACATGGATAGGGGGCGGGGGACCCCACCACCACCACCTCCACATAGCCTCTGCCTGACCTGGAGTGGTATCACTTGCCATCCCTGCACAGGTCCCTGCTGGATGGGAAAGAAAGTGACCTGAAGGCTGCGCTGGAGGACCTGGAGCATGAGAGGGGGAAGGAGCGCACCCTCCAGGCCCAGCAGGAGGAGGAGCAGCTGCGGCACCTGCAGAAGGAGGGCCAGAGCTCCAAAGCCCTGGAGGTAACCAGCTGCCCAGGCCATCCTGGCCAGTGCCTCAGAAGCAGGAAGCTGCCCACACCTGTCTTCCTTCCTTTTTTTTTTTTGAAACACCTTCTTGCTATGCAACTCAAGCTGGCCTTGTACTCATTATGTAGTACAGGCTGGCCTCAAAGTTAAGACAGTCCTCCTGCCTCAGCCTCCTGTGTGCTGGGATTGCAGGCATGCCCCGCCACAGCCAGCCTGCCTTTCTTTCTTACTCTTGTTTGTGGCAGCATGTCCATGCAACAGGAATTTACAGCAGTGAGATGGGGCTGTATTTTCTGGTAAAATAGTCTTTGGCGGTGGCCACCCACTACAAGGCAGACAGCTGTAATGGCCAGCAGTGCATGTGACCTTCTCAGTGGCCTACTGTCCGTGAGGATGTGCTTCTGGAAGGGTTAGTCTCCCGACTGGCCATCCTGAAGAACAGCAGCTGTAGCAGTAATGGGGGAGAGCTGTGTACAGTGCAGGTCCAGCAGGTGTCCTCTAGCTCACAACAAGTCTGTGCGTCTTTCAACAGCCTGGAATCATGGTTGCATAACAAGCAGAATGTGCTGTCTTTGAGCAATCTGAATATGTATTGTTTTTGAGGAAAGGATAAAAGGGCCACCTCTGCATCAAGGATGTGTTCAGTACCCCTTCTGAAATAGTCTTCCTCTGTGCAGTCGGGTGGTAAAATAACACAAAAGCTCCTGTACATTCTTCTACCCATAGAACAATTTCCAGAAGGTGTCTTCGCTGGGTGAGAGTATGTGAACAGGTCTGGGCAGGAACTTTTACTGTATAAACTTTCCTTTTGAGTATTTGACTTTTCCCATTTGTTTCCCACCAAAATAGGAATTAAAAGTTTCTTTGGAGAAGCAGTTTGCTCAAAACAACCAACTGTGTGTTGCACTGAAACATGAGCGGACAGTGAGGGGCAACCTGCAGCAAGAGCTGCAGATTGAGCAGTCGCGCTGCGAGGCCTTGCTCGCACAGGAGCGGGGCCGGCTCTCTGAGCTCCAGAGGAGCCTGGAGGCTGAGAAGAGCCACGCGCTGGAGCTCTCAGAGGCCTTGCAGCATGAGCGGCTACTGACAGAGCAGCTGAGCCGTGGCGCTCAGCAGCCACAGGCGCACCATGCCCTACTACGGAAGCTAAAGGCAGAAAAGGCCCGAGTGCTGGAACTGCAGGCCACACTCCAGGTGACACAGCAGCAGGCCCTGCAAGCCCAGCAGCAGCTGGAGGCCCAGGTTCAGGAGCGCTGTGCAGAGCTTGGGAGGGAGAAGGAGGTGAGTACCATCTTAGGGTTGGCTATGAATACCCTGCAGACCCACAAACAAGCTGAGATGCTGTGTGGAGGGAGGCGGGGAGAAACCAGCTCGATTACAGGCAGCGTTAGAGCAGTTGAACCCGTGAGCAAAAAAGCACAAGGAGGACAGAAGTAGTTGAGGTGGAGAATAGCGCCCAGGCGGAGCCATGTCAACTTGAAGAAGGAGAAGAAATAGAGACAAGAAGAAGCTGGTGAGAGCCATCTCATGGTCATGGAATTTAAAAGATCACTGAGGAGCAATTGCAGTGTTAGGAGAGTTAACATGGGGCTCTTCTGTCCTCTCCCCTCTGTTTCTTTAGTGTGTGTGTGTGTTTAGTGTGTGTGAGAGAGAGAAAGAGAGAGAGTACCACACTGTGTGGACTATTATAGCTTTATAGTGAGTTTTAATTAGGATGTATGATTCGAAATTGTCTTGGCTCTTTGGTCCCCTTGCAATTCCATGTAAATTTGAAGGTTGCACAAAAAACCATTGATACTTTCATAGGGGTTGCGTTGGATCTGAAGGGCACTGTGGATAGTATTGTGCTCAGGAAGGCAAATGTTCTCATCCTTGACCATGCACTGTCTCTGGTCATGAAGGTCTTTGATTTCCTTCAGAAGTCTTTTGTAGCTTTTAAAATATAAAGCTCCACACTTCTTTTGAGGAACTTAATCCTGTGTATTTTTTTTTTTTTTTTTTCCCCCAGTACTGGAATTGAACTCACGACCTCACGCTTGCCAGGCAGGCGCTGTGCCGCTGAGCTAAATCTCCAGCCCCAATCCTGTGTATTTTATGATTTTTTTATGTGATTGCAGATGGAATTGCTTTCTTAATTTTATTTTCAGATTATTTATTACCAGTGTGTTTCGATGTATTGATCTTGTACTGTGCAGCCTTGCTGAGTGTGTGTATTGGTTTCCAATATAAACACACACATACTCTCACTCTTTTCTTTGTGGTACCAAGCATTGAATTCAGGGTCTCATGCACACCAGCCAAGCACTCTACCACGGAGCTACATCCCTTGCCCAGATTTTACTGTTTTTAGAAGAATTTTCTACATATATAGAATCGTGTCACCTGCAGGTAGCCCAGTTTCATTTTCTTTTTTCCAACCCAGTTGGAAAATTACTTAATTAAATCATGAGAATGTTAGATTTTGTGGACTGTTTCTCAATGTCTCTTCAGACTGTGACATTTGTCTAGTGTTGTGGTTGCTTTGGTCAGGTGGACATTCTTTTATTCCTTCTTGATCATTGTAAAGAATTCTCTTGATAGGCCACTGGCTATTCAGTTTGCTAGTGTTTGGTTGAGGATTTTGCATCTGTGTTTGTTGAACCTGTGCGTTCTTGTGATGTCTTTGGTTTTTGTATCAAGTAACAATGGCCTTAAGGATGGGTTGGGAAGTGTTCTCTCGCTTTGTAATTTTTTGGATGGACTTTGATTTTTAGATGCATTCTATGTCAAGCAAAAGCTTTTTAAAAAACACCTTCACTGTTTGACTTTGTATTTTATAAAATCATAAAAAGATTAGTAAAACTATGGTCTGTTCTTTCTGAGGAGTTAGTCTGTAGTAACATAGTAGAGGAACATCTGTTTCTAAAAACAAAACTCTAGGTTTCTAAATAGTTCAAGGATAAATTAGATTCCAAGATGTTTTACAGTATTTTTAAGTTCATATCAGAGATGTGCTTGATAATTTTCAGTAACTTTATGGGATGGAATGCCCATACCATTGAGTTCCAAATTTAAATTGTGCTGTTCAGTAGTCTAGAGTGGTCTAGAAGATGCAGCCATCGTGGCAGGAGGTTCCCGTCATTGCAGTTGCAGTCCTTTCTGTTGTCAGGTGTACTCATTGTCCCCTTTCCCAGCCTGGCAGCCCCTGCTGTAACCTCTGTCTAGATTTGTCTCTTCAGGGCACAGTCAGTGGGACTCTGCAATATGTTCCCTATGTGACTGGCTTTCTTTAGGTGGCAAGATACCTTCAGGACTCATGTTGTAGTGATTACTAAATGTATCACATCTGAGGTTATTTTTTGTTTAAGAAACTTCCAAAATAATTACAGTGTTTTATCACAAGAAATAATAAACAGAGTGGCATCATTTACAGGTATAGAGAGCAGGGGAGGTTGAAGGCATAGGTCTTGGGCATTGTCTGGACGTGTAGGCTGTGAGGCCTTTCCTGGAGAGCCAGGCCTCAGGACATTGGATGGATGGGGAAGATTGAGGGGATGGATAAGGACAGCCTCGCCAGCAGGATCGGATCCCCATCTGCTCTGTGAGGCAGCTGTCACTTGGTCACATAGGGATCCTCATCACCTGGCTGCCACTGCATCTGCCTGTGTCCTGGGCAAAGGATCTGAGCCAATATAGTTCTTACCCTAAGAGCTCCCAAGCCGTATCCATGGTTTCTGGCCAAATCCTTTGATTTAACAAATGGTGCCATATTGCTGGAAAGTAAACACAGACAAAATGTCTTGTGTGTGGAGCTGGGAACTGCTCTTGATGTGACTTTAGGGTGCGGGAGTCTGGTGGTATTTGCAGCAGGCCCAGGTGACCTGGACCGCAGCGTCTTTCTCTGGCCAGACTGCTGGAACTTCTCCAGTGGTCCTTGCAGGGCCATAGTTGCCTACTCCAAACTACACAAGTTTAACTTTCTTCTCCAAGAGAATGGATAACAATGTGTGTGTACTATGCTGATGTCACATGCTGTGCCCCAGGCTCCTGCCAGCTGTATGGACTGCAGAGCTGGGGGCTACCCTCCTGTAGCCTCTTGGTGGGCCTCAACTCTGGTTCTGGGGTTCTTGTCCCAATGTGGTGCTTGCTGCACCTAAGTCTTGGAACTCTTCTTGCCTTTTTCACCCTTGTTCATTTGTGGGAAGTCCTGTGAGCTGCCTGCATGGTGTGAGTTGGGCCCGTGCAGGGAGTCCAAACACCTGTCAGTCATTTCCGCAGCATCCAGCGCAGGGTTCATTACTTCTGTTATGCTGGGGCGCTAAGTGGATTAACTCACTTCCACTTCACAGAAGGGCAAACCAGAGCCCGGGCCGCATCCTGCTCCAGCAGGTCCAGATCTATGCGTGTGCATGCCTGCTTGTGTGCACGTGTTTGTGTTTATTCATGTCTGTGCTGGCTTGTTGCATGTGTGTGTGTATGTGTATGTGTGTACAGGTGTGAGAGGAGCTCACTCCTGCCACATCCATTTTGTAGGCTCCCTTGTAGACCCAAGGGCTGGCCTGGGTCTGGTGGGTGGTGAAGATTAAGATGGGACTCTTGTGGCTGAATGAATACGTTGAGGTTAGTTGGTGGGGTCCTGGGGAGGACCAAAAGCAGAGTGTGGCCATCTGCCATGTGCCCTTTCTGGTCCACAGAGGGGCCTCCCCTGTACACTGCTGCACAGTGGGCCTCTAGCTGAATGGTGGCTTTAGAAAACTCACACAAAGCCTTCTCTGTGTTTTTTGCCATTTACTGACAGCGAGAATTAGAATTACAGCGCCAGCGTGATGAGCATAAGATTGAACAGCTTCAGCAGATGGTGCGAGAACTGCAGTCAAAAGTGGAGGTCCCCTCGGGCAGTGGGCCCCACCTGGACTCCCTGGAGCTGGCCAATGTCTGGGAACAGCGGCAAGGACTAGAGAAGACACGGCAGCAGCTGCTGTGTGTGGCCGGACTCCTGACCAGCCTTGTCAGCCGCACCATGGACAGGTGTGGGCCTGTGCTGCCTGGCACCAGCTAGTACCCTGCCCGCGCAGTCCATCTTGATTGTTTTGTGTGCGTGGTGCTGAGGGTTGAATCCAGGGCCTCGCACGTGCTAGGCAGGCTCTAATGCTGCCTGTCAGCCCTTTTTTTAAAATGTTGAGACAGGATCTCTTAGGAAGTTCTGAAGTTTTGGGTCTTTGACTTCAGGACCATGTTTTAATGAGCTGACAATCTTCCCCTCCCGTAAGTTTGGATGAATTAATGGGCCTGAATTCCCTGAAAGATCCTGACAAAACTCCATTTTCTACATTCTATTACTGCTACCGTACTTTTGACTGTGAGCTTCCAGCTTCTGTCTAGATCGGTTCTTTCCTTCACACCCAGAGCTCTGGACTCAGGTGCCCCTCAGTGTCACGCCTATCCTGCCTGTGCCCACCAAGGCTAGGTTGCCGTGTCTGTGTTACCCTGAAGCCTTTGGGGCTTCACAGCTGGGACCAGACTCACCTGTTAAGGGGTTGTGCCCACCACGCTTTGTAGAAAAATCAGTGTTGTTGTTTGCCTTTTTGTGCACAGAAATTGAGTTTGATTCTGTAGCAGCATAGTTTCTGAGTGGTTTTATTTAGAACACAGAAAGCAGCAGTGTTGGGGTGTGGGCATGTGGGGGCCACCCTTCAGTCAGTCTTCACCCCTTTCCCCAGCAGGCCCTGCTGCCCTCAGCCACAGTCAGAAGAGGGCTTCCCGGCAGAACGAAGAGGTTTGCCAGTGGCCAGAGGGATGATGCACAGAAGCACAGCTGCTCGCTGTCTCTGTCTCTGCAGCAGAGCATTCTTGCATAGCTTAGGGTGACAGTCATTCGGAATATGTATGAACCTTCTGAATGCTCATTTGTCTTTACAGGACACTTAATGACTGGACATTATCCAGTGAGAAGGCTGTGTCATCTTTAGTGCAAACATTGCAGGGGCTGAAGTCGGAACTGAGCATGTCTACCTCTTCCCAGGTATGGCTGGAGAGGGAACAGAGCATCTTTCATCCTGAGAGTTCCTTCCGCCCTCTGCACCTTCTCTGGGCCTGCCCTGCCCTGACAGATGGGGCTGAGGCTCACTGTCTAGAGAGACTTCGGGACAGCTTTGCAGTTTCATTTTTAGTGTTGGTTGGTGATTCCTCCTTCCCTTACTGAGTTTGCCACCTGGGTGAGCAGTCCTCTGCCCTCTGTGACATGGGTGCTAGATGCCCTCTGGTGCGTAGTGCACCATCTTCCGGGTTTGAATGTGCTACCCATAAGGCTGTGTGGCTGTCTGGACACGGCTGGAGCCACCTTGGGGCTGTGGGTCTGGGTGGGGGGAAGCTCAGTTCTGCTGGGGGCAGACACCCTAGGAAGCCTCTCGCCCCACTGATGGATGTCTGTCTTCCTGAGAGCTGCAGCGGGAAATGAAAACCCAAGCCCCTGGGAGCTCTGAGCTCCCCATGAGCTGTCACTGGAGGAGTTCACGGGTCCTGGCTGTGGGCCTGAGCACTGCCTAATGTTCTGTGGCACTTAAGAAATCATGGTAGATCATGGTGCTCCACATGGTTTTGGGTCTGGTGGCAGGGAACCTGCAATGCTTGCTGCCTCCTCCTTGCCCTCTGACCCTGCCTGCTGAGGTTATCTGGTATGTGTCCATTCCCTCTTGCTGTGGGTCACTGGTGAGCTTTGGCTGTCCCTAGGTGGGCCGAATATTCTGATTATGGAGCTAATGGGCCTTATTTTTTTGCCAATACTAGGGGGTTGAACCCAAAGCCTTTGCACTGAGCTACATCCTTAGCCCTTTTTATTCTTTATTTTGAGACAGGATCTCACTAAGTCACTGTGTTACCCAGGCTGGGGCTAATCTTATGATCCTTCTGCCTGTTTGTTTGTTTGTTTGTTTTTTGTACTGGGAATCAAACTCAGGACCTTGTGCCTACCAGGTAGGCCCTGATGCCACTGAGCTATATTCTGGCCCCTTTGCCTGTCTTAAGGGACCCCTTAGGATGTTACCACCTCTGTGGTACCTCTGTGTATGGTCCTATTAGAACAACCAAAAGGTTTGCTTGTCGTAACAGGCCTGTACTGTTCACATAGTTCAGTTCTGTACAAAGTATTTTATAGAGGACTGAAAAGAAATGTGACTTCATGATTTTATTACTTCCTGTCCTGTAGATAACCTAGCTACACCCAACTCTACAACTGTCCAATTCTAGACATGTTTATAAGTACCGAAAATAACCAATGACAGTTACATACAGTAATATGCCTGCCATTTTACAGCCACAACAAAAAACTATTTTTGTTTTTTTGGCAGTACTGAGGATTGAACTCAGGGCCTTGTACGTGCTAGGTCAGTGGTCTGCCATTGAGCTATAAGTTCAGCCCTTTATTATTTTGAGACATACTCTCACTAAGATGCTTAGTCTGGTCTTGATTTCAAGTTTCTCCTGCCTCAGCTTCCTCAGTACCTGGGATTGCAGGTGTATACCAATGTGCCTGGCTAACAAAAAATATTTTATAAATTTGTTTTCTGTTTTTCAAGAAAAAAATGGCAGCAGAGCTACAAGTGCAGCTTGTGGATGTGCTGTTGAGAGACAATGATTCTCTCACGGAAGCCATCAGCACTGTGACCCAGGAGAAGGCAGAGCTGTGCAGGGCCGTGTCCAGGCTCGAGAAGACCCTGAGGCACCATGTGCAGAAGGGCTGCACCCTGAGTGTGAGTGTCCATGCCCTTCCTCCTGTCTTAGCCCCAGACTCTGCTTTCTGTTAGGTTCTTTCCTAGTCCTGGCATGTGTGGTCTCTGTCCCTGTCTGGCCCCTGTAGGCTCTGTCCCTTCTAGCGTGAAGTCTTGCTCAGTGTTCTGTAATGTTTGTTTGCATTGCCTGGATTATGTGCACGACTCTGCACCCAGCCCAGAATGTTTTAACATCATAGCAGGGACATTTCTCCTTTAGTCACAAACATGCACGTGCATATCCCATGTAATCCTGGCCTCTGCTTAGAATTTGTTCATGTTCATAAAAGGAAACTAAGAATATGGTTATCTGTCCAAATTAGATTTTTATTTGGCTCTTAAAATGATTTACATATTTTCTGATAGGATGGTGTGATATAGTTAGGTGTTTTTTGTTTGTGATTTGCTTTACTTTTTTATAGTGAAGACTTTTAAAAATTTATTTTCAAATTTATATGCAGTAAAAATAGCTGTTTTTTGGCATGATGTCTTGCAAGTTTCACACATGTACATTCATGTAACTTTATGACCACCATTACAAATAGAGACCAAGGCTGGCCCCCGAAGGAACATAGCTGTAGGCTCCCACAGCGAAGTCTGTACCCTTGACCTAGGCCCCTTCCTGAATGTCGGACATCGTATAGGGAAACCGAGGAGCATGTGGCTCTCTGAAAGGGCCACTTCCACTCTCCGTTGGTTGTTGATGTCCTCTTGGATGGGCCCTTTCACTTCTAAGTGGTATTTCATAGGGTAGACAGGCCACTGGAGGATGTGTGGGTTGTTTTCAGCTTTTGATTGTTGCAAATTTTGCAACAGAGTACACAGGGCTATGCATGGATGTGGGTTTTGTCTCTGGTGAAAACACCGGGAGGGGTCTGTGCTTGTCCTTCCACCAGGCAGAGGCTCCCAGGGACGATGACAGGTAATGTGGTGTCTTGGTGTTCTTATAACGCACCTCTCCCTGATGACTCAAACTTTTGGGCGTCTTTTCATATTTTCTGCTGTGTATCTTTTTTTTTTTGGTATAGTATCTGTTAAGATCTTTTGCCTGTTTTTGAATTGGATTTTTTATTTTCATCCTCTTGAGTTTTGGGAAATTTGGGGCAATTGTTTTATATATTCTGGATACAACTCCTTTGTGAGAAATGTGAAATGTTTTCTATACTCCATGCTGATCTCTTCCTTTCTGTAGTTTTTTTTGAGATACAAAAATTTCTTAATTTCCGTGAACTCCAGTGTGTTAATTTGTCCTTACTGGATCATCCCAAGACTTTTGTCATTGTACTTTCCAGGTTTGTGGTCCTTTTTGAATTAACTTCTGTTTGGGGCCTGAAAGGTCTGCAAGGATCATACATATATGTATGTCTAATTGTTCTGTGTCATTGAACTGTCTTGGTATGTAGGTCAAAATCCATCACAACATCAGTTATTACTTCTGGATACTAAATTGGTCTGTAAGTTCTCTGTCATTTACCAGGTGCCTGAGTTACGAATGTTTATATTGCATCTTCATATTGGGTAGTGTGAATTCTCCAGCTTTTTGGTTGTTTTTCAGATTGTTTGGCTGTTTAGTTCTTTTGCCTTTCAATGTAAGTTTTAGGATCCTGCTGGTTTTTTAAATTGGGATTATTTTGACTCTAGATCGATGTGGAAAGAGTTGGATGGGAATGTGAAATGGCCCTATTGCTTTGTAAAACAGTCTGGCAGTTCCTCAGAAGGTTAAATACTCAGTATATTACCAGCAGTCCTACCTCCAGGTATTTCTCCAAGAGAAGCAAAAACATATGTCTACATAGAAACTTACGCATAAAGTTTCACGGCATCATTATTTATTATAGTCAAAAATGGAAGCTGGGCATGGTGGCACACACCTATAATCCAAGCACTCAATTTGAGAAAGAGACCTTATGTTCCTACTTTAATGTTGCTGAGGTTTTCTTTTTTTTTAATCATCAGTGACTGCTGAAATGTGCTGTGCTATGCTGTGTCTTTTACTCTGACCATGTCATTTTTATTGTTTAGTCTGTTAATAAAATAGTTTGTATAGATCTTTGTACATTGACTGTATCTTATAGTCCCAGAAAAAGCCCCACTCAGTTATCATGTTTATTTTAGTTATCGTATTATTGTTTTATATATTATGTATTTAAGTAAGTACTGAGGCCTTCACCCTGAGCTACATTCCAACCTTTTTATTTTATTTTATTTTGTTTTGTTTTCTTGTACCGGGAATCGAACTCACAACCACATGCTTGCTAGGCAGGCGCTGTGCCGCTGAGCTAAATCCCCAGCCCCCCAACCTTTTTATTTTTGGCAATATGATCTTGTTAAGGCTGGGGTTGAACTTGTGATCATTCTGTTTCAGCCTCCTGTTGTGTTGGGGTTGGTTTAATATTTTGTTGAGCACTCTATATGAGCATTGAGAAGGACTTTTGGTTCTAGAGTTTTCTTATATTGCCTGTCTGATATGGGCTCCTAAAATGAGCTGAGAATATTTCCTCCCTGCTGTTTTCCGGAAGAGATAATGTACATTTTACTGAAATATTTGTACATTTTACTGAAATATTTGTTAAAAGTCACCAGGGAACACATCTGGGCCTAGTGTCTTCTTTTTGGAAAATTTTAAATGATAGATGTGATATTTTTTGCTAGCTACAAGACAATTCAAGTTATTTCTTCTTGGGTAAGTTTAAAGTACTTTGTGTCTTTTAAAGACGTGTTTGGCTTCACCTTCATTGTGGGCTGTGTGTCAGGTTGTTGTGGTGCTCCCTGAATGCACATATGCCTGCAGGTCAGTGGTGGCGCACTTTCTTTAATTGCAAAGAGATAGGAAAAAAACCAAAAGAATATAAAAGCATTTTTCATGTTCACACACACATCACTCAGGCACACTCCACTTCACTCTTGGTTGCCAAAGTGTGTTGGTTTTCCCACCAACCAGCTAGGTAGCTGGGTGCCAGATGACTGAACTCAGTTATGATGTCAGCTCCCCAAGATGATGCAGATCTGCAGAATGAGACTCAGTCCCAAGACAGTCCCCAGGTGTGTTTTCATGACCTCACCTCTGGTCTGATTGGCTTGCTGGAGTGGCTGCTCAGGGGAACACGAAGATGTACTGGTTTATTACACAGGCTATCCCCAAAGACACAGATGGATGCCTGGTAGACAAGAGGCACAGGCCAGGAGTATAGGAGAGTTGGGGCTTACGGTGCCTTCTCTGGGCCCCACTTCCAGGACCCTCCACACCTAAAGTGTTCCTGAAGTTTTCTGCAACTTGTCCCTTTGAATTTTTATGGACGCTTCCTTAGGAAGGCCCACTGGCAATCAGCTCAGCCCTGATTCTGTAGATCAGGAGTGGGACTGAAAGTTCCAACCTTCTAATCTCAGGGTTGGTTCCCTGGGCAACCATCCTGAGTGTTTCTGTAGAACCAAAGATGCTCCTGTCACTCAAGAAATGACAGAGAACTTAGAAGCTCTGTCAGTATCTGAGGCAGAGAACAATATATATTTCTAGTTATGTCAGAGTCCCACCATTTCCAATGTTAGTATGTTAGTGATTTATAACTCTTGTTTTTCAGGGGTTGTTTTGGTCAGTTTGACTAGAGTGTTACAAATTTTGATTGCCTCTACTAAGGAGCAGCTTTTGTGTTTCAGTGAAATTTCCCCTAGATTTTTGTTTTCAGTTTCACTGCTAGTTGTTAAAGGTGTGGGGGGGAGAGAGACCACCAGGGAGGGCTCTGGTGACAAACTGTGGCTGTTTAATCACTCCCGTGGGAATGGGCGCAATTCAGTTTGAGGAGCAGAATCAGCAGGAATTGTGAATAGAACAAAATATTTAAGCAGGGGGCAGGTTGCTGTCTTGAGGAATTTGGGGGCTAAGGTAGTGTGGTTGTGCTTTTCTGAACAGACAGGGCAGATTCTAGTGTGGCCACATTCTCAGGAGGGGCGGTACAGAGGGACATGGCTCAGTTCTTCTGTGATTTCCCGCTGTGCCTGTCTGATGGTGCCTCACCCATCGGGTGTGACATTACTGTGTCTTTGTTATTATAAACAAAAGAGCAGGGGAGGTGGACACTTTCTCATGGCTTTTTCTTGCAGGACATGTGGGTGGTACAGAAACCTTGATTAGGAGACAGTTCTTAGGGGACAGCATGGTACAGGAGGTGGAATGTGAGGTTAGTAAGGACCCAGACCTTAGGAGGGACAGAAGTGGCCACCTAGGTGGCTGCAGACATAGAGACACAGAGCCAAAAATCTCTGGCTAGGGAAGGTTTGGACAGGTTTAAGAGGGAATGAGTTAACTGTAGGGTCCTGTAGAGATAATCAGGGACCACAAGGAGTTGGGGGCTACAACTGTGGGACATGACGAAAGGAGCAGGAAGGCTAGCCAGATAAGCATGCACAGAGACGAGGGGGATAATTTCATGCCATCTGGAGAGAGGTCACACAGTGTCCTGAAAAAAGAGATCTTTTATCAACATACGGTATGACTCAAAGGGGGGCCTGAAGGTGAAACCAAGAAAGATCAAGGCAGACAGAATGAAGTATGTGAGCAGCAGGATAGGCAGAGGCAGGGCAGTCAGGCGTCTTCTGGAATTTGGGTCAGCGTGAGGTTGCTGAGGTAACGGAGGAGAGGTTACTTGTGATTTCCACAAGGAGGGGTCAGGCGAGCAACCAGGACAGTTTTATTCAGGAGCGATGAACCCACTGGAGAGGGTCTTGTAGGCGAATAGCCATCGGGGTGTTATAGATGCAGGGAGGACGGGTGTCAGGAGGAGACCGGAGAGGGTTAGCAGCATACTGTATCTCTTTTGGATCTGTTGCCGAACTGGGCGATGGTCTTTGGTGGGGCTGGCCTTGGGGCTAAGGTTTGGCCTAAGGAAAAAGGTCCGGCCATATAAAAGCTCAAGTGGACGATATCTCACAGGTTCCCAGGGGTAGCTCAAGTTTGAAGGAGAACAGTCGGGAGCAGGGAAATCAGT